TACAAGAGCCTGTTTATGAAGAGAGGGGAAGGGTTATTAATGGTTTGCTCCTAAGGATCACAGTGCACCCCAAGTTTGCACCGTTTCCCCACGAGCTGAAGAAAACTGACGCGTGCAGCAGCTTCCCTTCAGCTCGTCCAGCAAGCTCTGGGGATCTGGGTCGTTGCTTCTTGTTGCGAAAATATCGATCCCCAACAGCACGGGGATTGTGCAGCGTGGCCAAAGCAAGCAAGCAAACAAGCAAGCGAGCCCCCGGTCAGCCACAGAAGCGCCCATCACCCCCGAAGCTACGCAGAGATGCTGAGGGCGCAAGGACCCTGCGGGAAAATGCCTGAGCAAAGCTTCCCTCCCAGGCTACGCGGTTTCCTGCATCTTTTCCCCCTTTTTTGGCGTGTGCGCAAAGGAGTCCTCTTTCCCGTTTCCTCTTTTGCCGTCAGTCTTATCAGCTGCTGCAGATTCTCCAACGAGAGTGGAGGAGGACGCATCAATTTTCTCCACACACACGAGCTGGAGCCAGTTATTTTGGCTGCCTACACCTTTAAAGCGCAAAGCACATTCTTCCAACCCCCCCACCCCCAAAGAATTCTGGGTGCTGTAGTTTGCTAAGGGTCGCTGGGAATAGTAACCCCGTGAAGGGTAAACCACAATTCCCAGAATTCTTTGAGGGAAAGGCTCTGCTTGCTTGGGGAGGTGGTATGGGCTCCTTCTTCTATAGCTCTCAAAGCTCAGAGGGGCCTGAATGTTCACCTCCATTTCCAGGATGCTTTTGGAAGCGGCTTTTCTCTGCGGGAAGTGGAAGGCACTCCGCGCATGCTCAGAGGCCCTCGCTTCTAAATTACTGTTTCATAAGTACCGGGTGCCTTGAGATTGGGGACGAGAGTGATGTGGAAATGGGAAAGGCGCAGAACTTGTAGGTTTGGCCACTTGCATAATTTCTCCCTCTCTGCCACATGGCCTCTGGTTACAGTTGTACCTCGGTTTACAAACTTAATCCATTCCAGAAGTCTGTTCTTAAACCGAAACCGTTCTTAAACCGAGGCACGCTTTCCCTAATGAGGCCTCCCACCGCCAGTGCCCTTCCACCGTTCGGATTCCGTTCTTAGACTGAGGTAAAGTTCGCAAACCGGGACACTACTTCCGGTTTTGCGGAGTCTGTAAACCGAATCGTTCGTAAACAGGGCTGTTCTTAAACCGAGGTACCACTGTATATTCCCCTGGTGTGCCTCACATCCCTTTCCGATGGCCGGCCCCTCTCTCCTTCCCGCCATTTCCCACTACTGTATGTTTCTCTTCTTACATAAAGAAGAGAATCTCTGCTCAAAATTCTGCAAAAAACCACGAAAGAGTGACAATGCAATTGCCATGCAAAAAAAATCCCCAGGTGGGTGGAACTCATGTATCGCAAGCCCCTGCTGCACATATTGCACAGGAAATGTGAAAGAGGAAATGCAAACCGCAGATGCTTTCACTGGCACTTCCTCCCTCTACTGCCGCTTCTTGAACACCCAAAGCCACAGCAGACACACATGACGGGGAAAGACTCCATGTGACAGAGGGAGAAACTGCCATTTCTCAAAGCTACAGCTGGTGCCTTCCCAATTTCCACCTCACTGAGGACTAGGAGCATAAGTAGAGCCTAGTGGCTCAGATGTGACCGAGGACACAGGCGGGCATGGAATCTGAGTAATATACATGTGCAAATTTAGAAACCATCACAACCATTTTAATAGATATGCAAACAATACACCACGCATACCCCCCAGGCCCCCTGCCAACATTTCTCTGATGAAAATAGGGACATCTCAATACATAATGATAATTTTACTATTTATACCACACACATCTTACTGGGTTGCCCCAGCCACTCTGGGCAGCTTCAAATACAGTGGTACCTCAGGTTAAGAACTTAATTCGCTCTGGAGGTCTGTTCTTAACCTGAAACTGTTCTTAACCTGAAGCACCACTTTAGCTAATGGGGCCACTGCGCTGCTGCACGATTTCTGTTCTCATCCTGAAGCAAAGTTCTTAACCCGAGGTACTATTTCTGGGTTAGCAGACTCTGTAACCTGAAGCGTCTGTAACCTGAAGCATATGTAACCCGAGGTACCACTGTATATATAAAAACACAATAAGATATTAAACAACCTTCCCCATACAGGATTGTCTTCAGACAATCGGGGGGGGGGGAGGGTCAGATAACAACATACCTTCCAACATTTCTCCAATGAAAACAGGGACATCCTAAAGAAAAGTGGGACGCGGGTGGCGCTGTAGGTTAAACCACAGAGCCTAGGACTTGCCGATCAGAAGGTTGGCAGTTCGAATCCCCGCGACGGGGTGAGCTCCCATTGCTCGGTCCCTGCTCCTGCCAACCTAGCAGTTCGAAAGCACATCAAAGTGCAAGTAGATAAATAGGTACCACTCCGGCGGGAAGGTAAACGGCGTTTCCATGCGCTGCTCTGGTTCGCCAGAAGTGGCTTAGTCATGCTGGCCACATGACCCGGAAGCTGTACGCCGGCTCCCTCGGCCAGTAAAACGAGATGAGGGGGTCCGTCCCTTTACGTTTACCTTATGCACAGCTGCCCTTGTTGCAAAGCAGTCTGGGATAGCTGCCACAACACTTGCACACGTCGTGAGTAGTTCACACCCAGGCAAGCGGGAATCGCTCAAGGTAACTGGAACGCACTGTGTGAGCACTAGAGATCTTATATTACGTGACCACATGCAGTGCCAGATTTATGTATAAGCTAAACAAGCTATAGCTTAGGGCCCTACTCTCTTGGCCCCCACCCCCCCAAAAAAAAATTAGGGGGGGGGGGAAGCACTGGGTGTACATTTCTAAAATATAAGATAAAAAACAAATCAAATTAAACCTACATACAGCAACAGTGTTTTGTGTTGTGTAGGCTCCTATGATGTAAGTCATGGGCCCCGCCTGCTAGACTGCTCCCTAAAATATCGCTGGTTTGCTCCTTTCTGTATATAGGGTGCCTACATTCTGCATGGACTAGTTGCCTGGCAACATGTGCAAATGGCTTTAGATACCTATTAGGTCCGTAAATTACCATATATGATATATTCAACACAAAAAACAGTGACGATTTGTTGTTGACAAAGGACAGCTGGACATATAAAGGGCCCCATTACCTTCAGTAGCTTAGGACCTCATCATACCTCAATCCAGCCCAGACCACATGCATACAATAATGGGGTTTGCTTTTTGTTTGTTTGTTTTTCTGAAAAAGGTAATTGTATATGAGGTAACTAGAGGCTATTTCAAAAGAAACTCTCGCCATATAGAGGCCACTTGAAGCTGCCTTCATGGCACCATGCTGTGAACAATTTCAGATTTATCAGTCAATGCTCAACGTATTTATTTATATATTTTTTTAAAAAAACACTTCTTTGCTGCAATTGCATAAAAACATTTATTACCAAAGCATTGGACAAAAAATATATATAAACACATTAAAAACTATACAAAAGCCAAAATCACAGTGGCAGAAACAATTTTCCATTGTGGGGTTTTTTTGGTGGTTTGTTTTTTGGTTTTGGTTTTTTGCCATTTTGCAATGGTAGTCCCTTAATAAAACCCACAAACTGTACTGCCAAGCCCCCTTGCTGCCCTAAGCTGCCCACAGCCTACCTCACAGGGGGGTTGTGAGAATGAACAAGCAAACGGCTGAGAAACAGTGTGCTGTCAATCAGCATTGCTATTCTAAGCTCTCGATAATGGATTGTCCATGATAAACATACAGCAGTTAAAAACTGGGATCAGCTCAATTTGCCACTGTCCAAACAAGCCAGCTGCATTGGCCTATTTTGGAGTAGGATAATACATAGCAAACTGTGTTAGAGGAGCTGGTGATCTCAGCAGTGTTAGAAACTGAGATATGAAAGCTAGGAGCTAAATGGCACCTTAAGCCTAGGGTTATGGGCGCAACAACGGAATGTCTAGGCGCACTTTTTTATACGTATATAAGAACACAAAGCTGAAAAATGAATGAACTGCAGCTAAAATGTTATGTTCATTTTTCATATGGTCTGTTCCTTCCCCTGCCCACCCTCCTAATATTCTTAAGAGGGTCTCTTCTCTAGTTTTCAGAGAGTAGCTGGAAGTGGGAGGCAGAAAAAGGTCCTCTTTTCCTTCCACTCTGCAGTTTTCATCTGAAATCTTAGGCGTGGTACTATGTCCACTGCTCAGAAACTGCTGGCACTAATGAAATTCCCTGTCGCAAAATGCGCCTAGAAAAACGGGAGTTTCCAAAACTGGGCTTCAGGTCCTTTCAATACATTGTATAGAATTTAAGATTTCATTTACGCTAATTAGAATAGCTGTCTTATGAATAGAGGTCCTCAGTACAAATCATATTTTCTCACTAGTTGAGGCACATTATATATTTATACTTTTGTTTGCTTTTTTTTTAAAGCACCTAGTTAAGCAGTTGCATATTTGCAATAATGGGGAGAAGAGTTGGCCCATGAGAATTAACACCCCCCCCCCCAATATTCCATGGTGAAGCACTACCGTTATATTAGGGCCAGCTAAAAATTCACCAAACAATAGCGAGCCAGCTTCCTCCTAATTTTGTGACATTTCCAGTTCGGCCTCGTAAAGGTCCCCTTTCCGTTCCCGAGGCTTTTGCAACACCGCCAAAGATCCCGGGGCGTTCTCTCCTCTCCGATGGATCTGTCCCCCCCCCCAACAATCTGCAGCCGGATCCCGGGGTTACACGTCCCCAACTGCGCGCTAGGGATCAGGGTGGCAAATCTCCCCGGCCGCGCTTGATCCTGTTTCGGAGCAAGTGCAGGGCGCGCGTTGCTTTACGCACTTTAGCGCAAAAACGCGTGGAAGAAGGGGTTGGATTGCAACGCTTGATGTTATTTTTTTTAATAATCCGTCGGCCGGGGAGGGGGCGGGGAAGGGATAGGATGGCCGTGCCTGCCTCCCTCCCTGTTGCAACGGGGTGGATGAGTTCAGTGGGTTTTTCTCTCTTTCAATGGCGAGGGGGGCGGAGGGCGGCGCGGACGCGCAGGGGGAGGAGGAAGAAGAACGCGTCGCTGGCTGCCGTTTAGCTTCCTTTCCTGCCACAGCAAAGAAAAGGGGGGTGGACAAGGCGCGCGAGAGAGGGGTGAGAATCTGATCTCTTTAAGACCCAGCGGGAATTTTCTCTCGGGTTTGCCCCCCCTCCCTTCTCTCTCTCCCCTCCTCTCTTCCCCCAACCTTATCATTATTATATTTTTAATTTATTTTCTTTAGGAGCGACAGGCTGCGCCGTTCGCAGAAGCGCCGGGTCTCCGCCACCATCGGGCTGCAAAGACTGAGAGAGCGACCAGAAACAAGAGGAGGAAGAAGAAGAAGAAGAAGAGAGGGAGGCAAAGGGATGAAGGGGAGGCGTAACGCATCCGAGCAGCCGGCGACAGTGGGCCTGAGCTGATCCGAGCCTGAAGGGTCGCGCTTCCCTGTAACCATCGGTAAGGAAAAGAAGCCTCTCTCTTTTTGGAAACGTTCTCTCCTCCGCCCCCGCTGACCACATTTCCCTGACACAATGAACGCCGTGTTGTAGGAGGAAGAAGGAGAAGCGTGCATTAGCTCCCCCCCCTTCCCCTCCATCCCTTGTTTCTCGCGATGTGAATCCGCTGCCGCAGCTCGTCTGAGAAGAGGCAGTTCGGAGGGGGAATCGGAGGAAGGGTGGGCGCGTGGAAAGAGGACCAAACGTGGGGCTATGTGGTGTCCAGGACACCCGAAGATTCGCTGAACCATGATGAAGACTGAGCCCCAGAATAGTCCTGGTGGCAGTAGCAGCAGCAGTGGCAGTGGTGGTGGCGGCGGCAACAACGGCGGCAGTGGAGGAGGGAGCCTACGGAGTGCCTCGCCTCACCGGAACGCCTACGAAGCTGGCATCCAGGCCTTGAAAGCCACCAAGGATGCCCTTGGCAACGCCGAGAGCGAGGAGGCCAAGAAAGCCCGGAACAAGAAGTATGGCTCCAACGTCCACCGGATCAAGAACATGTTCTTGCAGATGGGGACGGCGGGCCCCGCCGGGGAGGGCGCCATGGACCTGGCCAAGATGAAGGAGAAGCCCGTGCGGCTGTCCTTGCCCCGGGCCAGCAGCCTGAACGAAAACGTGGACCACAGCGCCCTTCTGAAGCTGGGCACCAGCGTGTCCGAGAGGGTGAGCCGCTTCGACTCCAAGACGGACAAACCGCTCTCCAAGCTGCAGGAGACGAGGAAGATCTTTGAGAGGAGCCTGCAGGAGAAGGAGACCAGCAACAAGCTTCTGCTGAGGAAGGAGAGGGCCGGGTTCCAGGACAGGAAGCTGGACGTGGTGGTGAGGTTCAATGGCAGCACCGAGTCCTTGGACAAGCTGGACACCGAGGCTGTGTCGCCCACCGTCAGCCAGCTCAGTGCCGTCTTTGAGAAGGCCGACTTGAGGAACAACCTCCACAAGGCCCCTGGGAAAGTTGGGCCCCTCAACTCCAAGATTGTCCCCAAGAGGCCCAGGGTTTTCCTTCAGGCCCCAGAAGGGGCCAAAGCAGAAGGGAGAAGTAGTAGTAGTAGTAGTAGTGACGGGCCTACTGCTCTCCAGGCGAGAGGCAGGCTGCCTGAGGCCGACAAGAGCCAGGCCAAACTTCCTGCTGGCGGAGGGGCAATGGCGAAGCCGGGGGATGGCAACGCGGGAAGTCTGCATCCCCAGAAGGTCCAGGAGGTGCGCAAGATCAAGCCCGTGGAAGTGGAGGAGAGCGGGGACTCAGAGCAGGAGTTTGAGGCGGCCGAGGTGGCCGTGGCGGCGGCAATTGCCGAAGAGCGCAGCAAGGCCGCTTCCAAGGGGCTTGGCGAGGCGAACCGGGCAGAGGTGATCCAGGCCGAGGTCACGGTGCACGCCGCCTTGGAGAACGGCCGGCCGGGTGGCGAGAGGCACCTGGAGACGCCAGACCCTCTGGCGGACGCTTTCGGCGAGGAAGGGGCCAAGGCGGAAGGGCCGGAGGAGAATGACTTGTGCGACGAGTCGAAGAGAGAGGACTTCTCCGAGGCTGACCTGGTGGACATCAGTGCCTACAGCGGGCTGGGGGAGGATTCGGGAGGGAGCGGGCTGGACGAAGACGAAGACGCCGATGGACTGTACGCGCCGGAATCCAGCTGCATGGAGATCGCTGGGCTGTCGGAAGAGGAGGAGGCCGCCCCCAACCGCAAGATCCATTTCAGCACTGCTCCCATCCAGGTAGGCCAAGGCATGAGATGTTCTGAGCAGGTAGGACGTACAACTGGGCTTGGCAAGGCTCAGCTGTTCTTGGGTCTGGGAAGTCCGTCGCCTGCTGGGGGTCACTGTCAGTGAGTTTTCCGAGCTAGAATCTTCAAATCGTTTTAGAGTTGGAAGAGACCATGGGAATGATCTTGTCCAATGCCCTGCAGTGCAGGAATATTTTGCCCAATGTGGGGCACAAACCCACGACCCTGAGATTAAGAGTTCTCATGCTCTACCAACTGAGCTACCCCTCAGTTTGGCCTATCTGGGTTTGGCCTAGCTCTCACATGTAGCTTATGAGGTGGGGAAGGGCCACAGCTCAGGGATAGGGTATCTGCTTTGCATGCAAGAGGTCTCAGGTGCAGCCCTTGACATTGACAGGTAGGAGAGACCCTTGCCTGAAATCCTGGGGGGCTGCTGCCAGTCAGTGTAGACAATACTGAGGAAGATGGTCAGAGGTCTCACCCAGTGTAAGGTGGCTTTCTGAGTCCCTGTATCTCGATTGTACCTCCACAAAGGCTGCAAGCCGAGTTTGCTTGATGGGGTGGCTCCTCCATCCAAAAATTACCTTGCGTTTGATAAATATGTTCCCTGTGCATGCCATGCCAAGGAGAAGGCATGAAGCTCCACCTTCTTCCTGATCAGCTAGATTTCTACATGAAAGGAAAGGCGTGTAAAAAGACATGCGCTTGTTTGTGTGGAGCTGCATTAACCTGCCATCTGGATTGGCCCAGTCATGGCACAGCCTCCCACAACCCACTGGCCTGTTGGGGAGGACCAGGCCTAAAGATGGGCTTTCTCCCCACACCAACCCTCTCCTCAGGAAGATTTCCAATGAGAAGGCCTCGATATCGAAAAGCCTATAGCAAACGATTACTTGAGAACTACAGACCGACAGGAAAGGGGTTGTGTGTCCCTCTTTTGCATATATGTATTTTTATTTTGAACTTTAGGAGCTCTGGAAACACTGGAGGGAAGGTTCTGTTCAAGAACAGCAAAGCAAAACTCTCATCCTAAGGGCTAGTGGCAGAAAAAAGGGGCCTGGTTGCTGCTTTTAACAGGGCTGGCCTCTCTCTGAGGCAGATCTACAGGACTCAAGACTATCTGTGCAAAGGTGGTTTTAGGACCAATAGGCCAGACAGTATCATGGCAGATAGTGACAGTGTTTTGGAGTGCCCCCGCCCCATCTCTCACTCAATCCCCCCCTTTTTTTCCTTTCCATTGTAGAATCCTAGGGAGAGAGAAAGAATATTTGTCTAGGGTGGAAAATCAGGGAATGGGTGGGGTTGAAGGAGACCGTTCCCTAGCCTGAGATTTCGGCAGACAGGGAGATGCTGCTGAGGTGACTTGATATTGCAAAGCAGTCTGGGGGTGGGAGAGGGAGAAACCATTCTCCATCCCTCCCCCCCTTTTTTTTGCAAAACCACTGCTTTTATGGAACGCTCAGGGCGAGGGAGGGATTATTAATGAACCCGTTTCTGTCTGGCTGCCGGTAGTAAAGGGGATAACACATTGGATGTGAAATCTCCGTTTCTCACACTCCATCCCACCTCGGCTGGGGGCTGCATGTTTCTGGAAGAAGGAGGGAGAAGGGAGGGGTGGGCTGGGGAGAGAGATGTCACCGACACAAATTCAGGGAGATGGCTCATCGCCATCTGTTCCTTTCTAGCCCTCCTGCTGCCCCAATGCCCCTTATTCCCTCTCGGAGTTGCTATCGATTGGCTACCTTTCCGCTCTTCAACACCTTGCAAGGATCAAAGGCGTACTGACCATCATTCCCAAACAGTTAGCTTGGTTTTGTCCCCTGCAAAAGGCCAGCTTTGCCAGGGGTGAATCTGGAGGCAGGAAGACTCTCTAGTCTTCCCCAGATGGGGGAAATGAATGGCAGCTCTCCTGTTCTGCTGGGGACTGGGGCCCACAGGGAGAGGGGCAATCAATAACCAGAGCCTGGTCCAGGGGTGTGGTAAGGCGAGGCAAATCAGGACCACGGACAGCTCCGACTAGGCCCTGCGTGCTGAGCTTGGGGAGATGTTGTCTCAGCAGAAGGCTTAGGGTCATCTGAAGCCTTTGAAAGGACAGCAGGGTTTGACTTTCCAGTAGCTCTGCCCCTCTGCCCCGACCCCAGAGAGCTGTTGGCAATATTTAAAGGGCCTGTAGCCTGTTCTTCAGTCACAGGAGATTCTACATGGGGATCATCTTCATATGCAAGAGCTACGTATTCAGGCCTGGTCAGTGTAGAAGGGGCTGTTGCTGAAGGGTCTCCCCTCCAGTGGGTTGACAGGTTTGTCATCCGAATGAGATCCATGTTCAGGCCAGCACTGGGAACCTGAGACAGGGGGACATGACAGCCCTCTGGCGGGTGCCCATGAGGTCATAGACCTGGATAGAAGGAGATGGTCAATCAGGCCAACGTTTTCAAGTTCTGAGATAGGATTCAACATGGATCATTAACTCAGGTTGCCCATGATATCTCCACTTAATGGTTGGTGTGTTGTAGTGGTTAGTGGGTTGCAGCTGGGCCAGCAAGACCCTGGTTGAAATCCCTGTTCGGCTGCAAAGCTTCCTGGGTCTGTCACCCATCTCTCAGCCTAACCCACCTCGCTAGGTTGTCATGAAGATAAAGGGGGAGAAGCCCAGGTCGTTTTGAGTTCTTTGGGTAGTTGGGACAAAAAGGGAATATGTCTGGAGAGAGATTAGAACGTAGGAACATGGGTGAATGTCCCACGAGCAGATGGCAGGGGCAAAGAAGCAGTGTTCAAAATTTACCAGGTGTGAGTCCGGTTGTGACTATGTAGAGTTTTCTGGGTGCCAGGCTATCAACCATAGTTTAGGAAACCTCTGCCTTGGTCCACAGTTAATACCAATTCCGTTCCCCCTGTGTGTGATTCTCCTTCTTGCATTCTGGGACAAGTGAACTGTTGCCGGACTAAGCTACAGCCCATCAATGTTGTCGAGATCATAGCATCATGGAATTGTAGCATTGGAAGGGAACCCAAGGGCCATCTAGTCCAGCCCCAGACATTCCATTGTGGTGACCGTAACCTACGTAGGTTTAAGATGCCATGGGGCGCCTACCTTATATATATCCTGAGTTTCTAACGCTGCGAAGAAGGTGCCTTGCGCCAATAAGTTAACAGGAACGGGAGAGCGATGTTGCAGCCATGCTCTTTCCATAGGAATCTAGTTGGTTGCTGTGGGGTCAGGATGCTGGGCTAGACAGACCTTTGATGTGATGCAGCAAAGCTCTTAGCTTCTCAGAGTGCATTGTTACTCTGTGGAACTCACTCCCTTGGGAGGGATTCAAATTCACCAATTTGTGTGAATTTAAAAGATTGGACAAATTCTTGGAGGAGAGAGGGCTGTCAGTGGCTACTCGCCACGATGACTCTGCTCTGCCCTCGACGCCTGGAGGCAGTAATACTTCTGAATACAGTGGACGCTCAGGTTGCAAATGTGATCCATGCGGGAGGCACGTTCGCAACCTGCAGTGCTGCTTCTGCGCATGCGCATGTTGTGATTCGGTGCTTCTGCGCATGCGCAAAGCACAATTTCACGCTTCTGTGCAGGCGCAAGCGCTGAAACACAGAAGTAACCTGTTCCGATGCTTCTGGGTTTTGGCGGGTCTGTAACCCGAGGTATGACTGTACCAATTGATGGAGACTGCAGGAAGGGAGAGTGATCTTCTGCTCAGGCCTTGCGAGTTTCCCCACAGGCATCTGGGTGGCTACTGTGAGAACAGGATGCTGGCGTGGACCTGATCCAACAGGCTTTTCTTATGTTCTTTGGCCTTCTGGCATTGTTCTGTCTTAGCCAACATCCTGGCACCAGGTCATGGCATATGGGACTGCTCGCTGGCAGAAGAGGAAGCATTACTCCAGTCAGGCTGCCATAAGAAAGTTCAGGTCCCTGGGAGCTGACAGAATGCGCTAGCTTATAGGCTCAAGGGTCAGATTTTAAGACCCTGGGGTTTTAAGATCCCTGATCACCAGCTCCAAAAGAGGGGCCACTGCAATTTACATGTGAACAGAGCCGTCTTGCTTTATGTGTTTTAACCATGAAAGAGAGCTGAGTGTTAGACCCCCGCAAAGAACAATTAAATCTGCCAAATGCCAACACAACAAGAAAACAAAAATGTTCCTCAGGGAGATAAAGCAGGTAACCTTGACCTAGTCTAGGACATTGGCAAGGCCGGCTCTGTCATTGGCCAGACTGAATCAGATGCCTCAGGCATGGTTACTTTTGTGGTATTTTTTGCTCCCTAGGAGAGGTGCTTGTGGGATGTTCTGTCTCAGGTAGCAAAATGTAAACCTGGTCAGCCTTTGGGGGACGATGCATTTTGTCCTTCTCTGGAGTTGGGGGCAGCGATTGTTGTTGCTCCCTGGGCAGCGAGGCGTCTTAGGCAGCGAGGACTTCCATGGAAAGCGGCAGGATGCCTGGCAAGTCTTTTGTGCTCGTGAAATTCCTTTTAGGGAGACTCCGTGGGCGAACCTTGTGCCGAACAGAAGGCACGACATTTGCCGCATGTGTGGCTGGGAAGGAAACCTCCCCCGTTGCCGGTGACCCTGAAGGGTGGGTCTTCTTTGGTCTTTTTCCTGTTTCTCCTGCTTGGTGGGCTTGGCCTGGATTCGCCCCTCGTCCCCTTTGGGTCTCTGCTGATAGGTTAGTGCAGGGGGGAAGGAACTATTCTTAGCCCAGGACCACATTTCCAGCTTTCCAGGGGCTGTGGGCCAGTGGTGGGTGGGAACAGAGGTGCAGGTCAATTCTGTATCCAGGGCAGCCGCCTACCAGCTCCATCTGGTACGCAGGCTGAGACCCTACCTGTCCGCAGACTGTCTTGCCAGAATGGTGCATGCTCTGGTTATCTCCCGCTTGGACTACTCCAATGCACTCTACGTGGGGCTACCTTTGAAGGTGACCTGGAAACTACAACTAATCCAGAATGCGGCAGCTAGACTGGTGACTGGGAGCGGCCGCCGAGACCACATAACACCGGTCCTGAAAGACTTACATTGGCTCCCAGTACGTTTCCAAACACAATTCAAAGTGTTGGTGCTGACCTTTAAAGCCCTAAACGGCCTCAGCCAGTATACCTGAAGGAGTGTCTCCACCTCCACTGAGGTCCAGCTCCAAGGGCCTTTTGATGGTTCCCTCACTGCAAGAAGTGAAGTTACAGGGAACCAGGCAGAGGGCCTTCTCGGTAGTGGTGCCCTCCCTGTGGAACACCCTCCCATCAGATGTGAAAGAAATAAACAACTATCTGAAGACACCTGAAGGCAGCCCTGTTTAGGGAAGTTTTTAATGTTTGATGTTTTGTTGTGTTTTTAACATTCTGTTGGAAGCCACCTAGAGTGGTTGGGGAAGCCCGGCCAGATGGGCAGGGTATGAGTAATAAATCATCATCATCATCATTAAACTGGTGGGGCAATGAATGCAAATATCACCTTTGTGCAGTAGGCTAGTTTCTGCACACACTCACATGCTCCTCTATAACCTCCGAGCAGACCAGCAAAAGGCATAATCAGTACTCAAGGACACATCCCAGCCAGGCAAAAACGCTTGCACTATGAAGCAGGGCCAGCGAGGGGTGAGGCCAGGAGAGAGTTTAGAGAGTCAGAAAGAGATGGGAAGGATGCTTTGGGCTCTTGGGGCTGAGGCTTCCTACCCCTGTGTTAGTGGATGAAGAGATTTGGTTAACGGTGAATCCTACCTTGAAAGGAAATGCCGCTGGTCTCAGCCCCTATGGTGGTGAGAAATCTGTTCCTGCCTTCTTTTATTCAAGCTAGTTCTGAAGATGAACTGTGGTCTGTACGAAGAGCAGCTCGTCATATTCCTGCTCCAGCCTGTGCCCTCCCAACAGTTGACTGTATATTAGCTTGAAGAGCTTCATTGCCAATGGTTTAGATGCAGGTTTATTACATCGCTCACTGGGGCAAGGAGGTTTGAGCATATTACACTGATCCAGGCCCAATTGCACTGGCTGCCAATTAGTTTTTGGGCCCAGTTCAAAGTGCTGGTTTTGACCTATCAAGCTTTAAATGGCTCAGGACCACCGTACCTCAAGGACAGCCTTTCTCCATATGAACTGAGCCAGACCCTGCAACCATCATCTGAGGCCCTTCTTCGCATACCTCCTCTGCCCAGAGGTGGAAAGAGAAGAACTGGGCCTTTTCTGTGTTGGCTCCCCATTTGTGGCATGCTCTCCCCAGGGAGACTCGGCTGGTGCCGTCATTATACACAATTAGGCACCAGGCGAAAATGTTCCTCTTCAACCAGGCCTTGGGCTGATTGCCATCCGATGCCCTTTTAAATGTGTTGTGGGATGGGGCTGGGGTTATTGGTCTGTTTTTGTTTTTATTACGTATGTTGTGTGTTTTCATGTTGTGATTTTATGTTGTGAACTGCCCTGAGAGCTGTGGATGAAGGGCAAATTTAAATAACAACAACAACAATATATTGCTTCCCACTAAAAAATACCACAAAGTCATTTATAGCCGAGTAAAAAACAATCACCAATGATAAAATCAGATAGGATATTAAAAACAGATCTAACACTACAGCAGCATTTGTGCTTCCCAAGTGCCTGGGAAAATAAAAATGTTATTTTCATGGCACTGAAACAATGACAAGGTTGGCACCAGGCAGGCCTTCCGGGGGAGAGCATTCCAGAAACAGGGGGCCACTACAAAGAAGGCCCAGTCTCTCCTCACCACCTTCTGAAGTTCCCTGGGATGTGGTGTTCACAGAAGAGCCTCAGGTGATGTTCTCAGCATCCAGGCAGGTTCATAATGGGGAAAGGCAGCTCTTTAGCTCTTCTTTGAACAGCAACAAACACAATGAGGGGGCGAGATGGCATGGTGCATGTTGCCCGCCAGAGTCACACAATGCTTTGCTACCCTTGCCAGTCAAATGTGCCACCCAGGAGGAAGGAGACATTCTTTCAGGGAGTGTATTCCCAGCAGTGGCACTACACCAAGGAAGGTCGCAATGGCAGGGGGCAAATCACTCCTGTGAAAAACAGCTTAATTTAATAAACTAGATTCAGATCTTGTGGTTAGGAGGGAATGTTCCTGCTTTGTTTCATACTAGCAGCCGCATACCCGGCTTTGCTCAGGAATACTAAGCAACAAAAACAGCGCAGTTTTGAAATTGGTGTTTCAAACCAGCTTTGGAAGGTTCAGTCCGCCATCTTGATTCAAAATGGCGCCCGTTTGTATCCAAACATTGACAAAAAACCCAACAACCCTGCTCCTTGGTCCCTGGAACTTTCAGGCAAAATTTGGTTGTGATATCATAAGAGGCATCCAAGCGGATGGCGAAACAACTTTCCGAAACATATAATCAATCATAGAATTGAAGAGTTTGAAGGCACCCCAAGGTTCATCTAGTCTAACCCCAGGCAATGCAGTAATCTTTTGCCTGATGTTAGGCTCGAACCCATGACCCTGAGATTAAGAGTCTCATCTTTAAGATTTTATTTTTCCTCACATGTGGAAACGCAGTGTTTTCTCATCTGGCATACAAGAGCCAAAGCAGGTTTCAAAGTTGAGACAAGTATACGAGATGAGTTGGCACATGTTTGCTAGTGGAAAATGCATCACCATGAAAGGGAAGCTTCCTGCTTCTTTTAAGGTCCAAACTGAAAGGGAAAGCCATCTTTAAATATGTTTTGCGACTTCTGCAGAAAGGGGAAAGAGGAAGCTAGCCTGCCTGTGTGCATATGAGATCTACTCAGTGGTATGTCCTTTAGTCAACCCCAGTGTCAGGGGCGGGGTGGTGGGTTTTAGTCTCTGATGAAAGCTTCAGTGGAAAGAGGATGCAATTAAACATTACAGCCTCTCATGTTAACTTATAATCAGACGTTACCATGAAGCTTCTGACTGATGCTCTGGCTTGCTTCAGAAGTTTTTTGTTGTTTTTTTGCAACTACAGTGGTACCTCGGGTTACAGACACCTCGGGTTACAGACACTTCAGGTTACAGACTCCGCTAACCCAGAAGTAGTACTTCGGGTTAAGAACTTTACCTCAGGATGAAAATAGAAATCGTGCTGCGGCGGCAGTGAGAGGCCCTATTAGCTAAAGTGGTACCTCAGGTTAAGAACGGTTTCAGGTTAAGAACGGATCTCCAGAATGAATTAAGTTCTTAACCAGAGGTACCACTGTAGTTGAGCTCTTGTTGCTGAATTCAGATTCTGAAGCAGAGTCTTGGCTCAAATGAAGACCTGGTCAAAAATGAATTCATTACTCTTACTCGTTCATGAGCGGCTTCCATAGTCACCTTCCCCTTTCTCCTGACAACAACCCTGTGAGGTAGGCGAGGAGAAAGAGAGAGCGAATGGGCAAGATCATAGCTGAGCAGGGATTTGATTCAAGCCTCCCTGTCCTGGTGTGATCACGACATCACACTTTGGCTCTCTTCAGGGATGGGCAGTTTGATTTGAAATTCTGCTTTCAGCAGTTGTGCCAAATTCTGCACCTTTTCCAGCTTCTCTTCCTTTGTCAACACCCTTTCTTCTCCCAACAGCTCGCAGCCCCAACAATTCCCAGATGCTGTGTAACATTTCCTCAGTAGCCGGGCCTATCCTTTCACTTTCCTGACAGGAACCTGCACTGATGGGGATAATATTCCATTGCTGTCAGCTTCCCCCTGATCAGTTAGAACATTTGTGAACATGTCATAATTACACATTTGCTCAGCGACTGATGTGCGGGGAAGCAAAGACATTCCAGTTTCAGAGCGTTTTCGGTACGTTATATTCCTATACAAAACTCCATATTTTACAGGGGGGAAACTGAGGTTGAAAAACTGCAGTAATTTCAAGGCCCTATAACAGTTCCAAGGTAGATCTGGGAAATAAATCCAGATTTCCCAGTCCCTGTTTGGAATACATCAATGAGCTCTACTTGGGGCTACCTTTGAAGGTGACTCGGAAATTACAACTACCGTATTTTTTGCACCATAACACTCACTTTTTTCCTCCTAGAAAGTAAGGGGAAATGTCTGTGCATGTTATGGAGCGAATGCCTGCGGGTGGTGGTGGGGATCTGCTGCAGTCGTGAGCAGAGGATCCATGGTTCCCCTTCCTTCCCTCCTCCGTGGTTACAAAGCATGGATCCACATGGATCCTCAGGATTTTTGCATTGGGCTACTCCAAACTCACTGTCAGATCACATGTCTGTGGCCACAGCATGAACCACAAAAATCATATATCCACTATTTCGTTTAGAATATTTTTTCCCTTGTTTTCCTCCTCTAAAAACTACGTGCGTGTTATGGTCTGGTGCGTGTTATAGAGCGAAAAATACGGTAATCCAGAATGCGGCAGGTAGACTGGTGTCTGGGAGTGGCTGCCAGGACCATATAACACAGGTCCTAAAGGATCTACATTGGCTCTCAGTGCGTTTCCAAACACAATTCAAAGTTTAAATGCTGATATTTAAAGCCCTAAATGGCCTCGGCCCTGTATACCTGAAGGAGTGTCTCCACCCCCATCATTCACTGAGGTCCAGCTCTGAGAGCCTTTTGGAGGCTCCCTCACTGTGAGGTTACAGGGAACCAGGCAGAGGGCCTTCTTGGTAGTGGCACCCGCCCTGTGGAATGCCCTCCCCTCTGATGTTTAGGGAAGTTTTTAATGTGTGGTGTTTTACTGTGGTTTTATAATTGGTTGGAAGCTACACAGAGTGGCTGAGGCCACTCAGTCAGATGGGCGGTATATTATTATTATTATTATTATTATTATTATTATTATTAGAGTGGTCCATCCCTCCCACTCCATGAAACCAGAAATCTCAAGATTCCCTTCATGTTATGAGCATAAGAGCCTTGCTGGATCAGACCATAGGTCTACCTAGTCCAGTGCCCCCAGAGATGCTTATGGGCTATCTACTAGCAGAACATGAGTCTCATAGTGGAGCAAATATTGTTGTCATAGCTAGTAGCCAATGATAGCGCTAGCCTCTGTGAATCTGTCCAACTTGTTTTCAAAGCCATCCAAGTTGGTTGATGCAAAGGATAAAGAGGCAGCCCATTTTGTGGAATATTTAAAATGGCACATCACCAATCCTAGATGTGTGTGGTTGGGTCATGTCAAGCTGCCAGGGTCATGGCAGCTGCCCAAGGGTGCTAGGTGCTTATTCTGAGTCTGGTAACGGGGGCCAGGGTTCCTTGGAAGGTAAACCAAAGTAGAAAGCCTTTGCCGAAGACAGTTCAGCATCCGCCTTCATATACCAGCTATCAGCAGGGTGAGATGCTAAATACCGCTGCACGTCAGCGACGGATCACTGTCAAATATCAACCTGCAAGATACCAAAACAATGAAATCAGATAGGGTGGGGTGTTGACGACAGCTGGCAAACATGCAGCCGTTTACAGGCTTGGCAGAATTAGCAAATGAGAATTGCGAGCGATAGCGGACAGCCAGGTGGGGAGAAGGCGCTTACCTTTCCTGGCAGGCGGATCGATACGATACGATATCTTTATTGTCATTGTCCCATGCAGAACAATGAAATTGAAAAATCTACCTAAAACCCCTAAAACCTCTGAAACCCCATTTTAAAATACAGTATAGTTCTATAGAGATTCCTTATCCTGTGTTTAAAAACAGAATTGCATTTGGGTAGATCATGGCTGCTTTTTGGGAGGGACATGGTGGCGGCAAGATGGGTGCAGTACAGACGCATCAGCAGAGCCAGTCCGGAGTTCCTGCTGCCGCGACCGCACTGTGCCACCCTCCCTGCCGCCTCCTCGTTTCGGTAGGGCAGCCCCCACAAAGCCACCCGCTACTGTTTTTCTGAGGATAGTTTTCAGGAGCAAAATTGGTCCGGCCCTATCACGTTCGTGTAAGGAAATTGGAACTGAGCCACATATCCTGCAGCAGTGCTCTCTCTCACATGCTATGTTGGCCCACAAGGTTCCTTGGAGTGGTGTTATTGTCTGCTGTCGTTAACCCCCTGCTGCTATAATCCTCCCACGCCCCCCACCCCAGGAGAGGATGCTGGGTTATCCTCTTCCTAGGTGGCCCCCATTTTCAGGCTGATGGGCCATCTGCTCAGCCTTGCAACGTAGCATCAGGTGGACTCTTTGTGCACTGGGGATAAGCCAAACAGCGCAAATTATTAGACAATAGCCTCTTTTCCCCGTTCCTGCTGGCCAGCTTTAGTTGCTCTCCACTTCCCTCGATCTGGATGGTCAAGGGAAGGGTATATAAGTCTGGAAGGAGGAGAGACCCACGTCCTGTGACAAACGGCCTAACAAGAATTCAAGATCAGAGGGGCTGATGGGGAAGAGGGTGTGCTGTTCACCTATAAAGCAGGCAGCCCAACAGGTGTCCACAAGGCCTGGCAGCAGGGGAAAGGTACCTGTGCCCCCAAGGAGGATGGACTGCAAGGGTCCACAATGCTTGCGAGGACGGGCTGCTAGGTCTTGGAGGACCGCTCTAGAGAAGATAGAAAACAAAGTAATCCAGGCAGAACGCATAGATCGGGGGGGACAGGACGGATGGACCTTGCAGACATCCAAATGTTGTTCGACTACTGGCTGGGGCTGATGGGAGTTGGAGTTTGACAACGTCCCCAGGGCCTCAGCATCCCCACTTCCGTTTTAAAGCCATCCGAGATGTTGGCTGGCACCGTATTGTGCGGCAATGAATTCGACAAATTAATTGCATGCTGTGCAAAGAAGTGCTTCCTTTTGTCTGTCCTGAACTTCCCGTCAATCAATTTCATCGGGTAACCACAAGTCGTAGCATTATGAGAGCAGGTGGGGGGGGGGCTGAGGACTTCCATCTCTCTCTCTCTCTTTCTCTCTCTCCCTCTTTCTCCTTGCCTCCCTCCCTCCCCTCATTTGCTCAATACTGTGCATAATTTTTATGCACTATTTCTCCCGTTCCCCCCCTTTCACTGTCTTTCCCCTAAACTAAAAAGACCCAACCGTTATAACTTTTCCTTCTCAGGGAATTGCCCCAGCTCCCTCCCTGATCAAATTTGGTTGTCCTTTCCTTCACCTTTATCCAGCTCTTCTTCTTTTTCTTCATCATCATCATCATCATCTTCCTCGGGATGTTTCGACTTGGGACTTTGAGGTGATGTTAAGGGCAGAAGCATGAGTGAGGCAGGCTCAGTTTGACCCCATCTGCTCAGATGTCCCAATTTGCACAACCCATCAAGGATCAAGGAAGGGTCAGCTGGCAATGGGCTCCTGCTCATTTCAACCGAACTTTCACCAGAGCACTTCTCAGTGAGTTGTGCTTTGTGTAAATTAACACAGGCGTATGTCGGCACACGTGCAGCACACAGCAGTGACCGGCAGGGTGTCAAGTGGGTGGGAGCCAGGAGCAGGCCAGTAAGAAGTCACACGCAGCGTCAGTGAAGTTAACTCTTTATTCAAAGACACAAACAACTCTGGAGACCAGGCCTAGTCAGCACAGCAACTCACTTGTTGCTCTTGCCTCCCCAAAGCTCTTTGAGTCGCCTCCTCCCCCAGTTCCCAAACAATCTGAGACTCCTTTGTCTTATCTCTATTTGCTCTGCCCTCTTCATTCCTCTTTGGGTTCTGGGAAGACCAGGCGGAGGGGAGCTGGTCACAGCAGGAGGGGGAGACCCCCTGGCTTCTTCAGCAGCCGGCCAGATCTCTGCCTCTTGCCCCCCTCCTCTCCAGCCTCTGCTCCTGCCTCTGATTCTGAACTGCCCTCTGCCACAGCTCCTTCCTGCTCACAAAACCCTGTTACCTCTTCAACTTCTGACACCTCCTCCCATTCTGCTCCCTCTGAACATGGCCTTCTCGGTAGTGGTGCCCTCCCTGTGGAACACCCTCTCTTCAGATGTCAAGGAAGTAAACAGCTATCAGACTTTTAGAAGATGTCTGAAGGCAGCCCTGTATAAGGAAGTTTTTTAATGTTTGATGTTTTAGTATGCTCTGACATGTGCTGCAAGCCGCCCAGAGTGGCTGGGGAAGCCCAGCCAGATGGGCTGGGTATAAATATTGTTGTTGTTGTTGTCCCACCCCTACTCCCTGGGCTCTGAGCCTTCTTCCCTTGGGGGTTCCCCAGCTGGTTCCTCCCACCATTCCTTTGCACCCAGCCATGACATGGGGTTCCTTTATTCACGTGACCTCCCAGCAGCAGCCCTGCTGCAGTTTACCAAGAGGGAGAGGAACACGATAGCAGCGAGGCCAGTATGGTGCAAACACACGATACTGGAACTTTGGGTTGGCTCCACCAATGCATTTGCACCATGTCAGCCTCACCACCGCCTGCCCCCTCTCCCTCCCAGTAAGTCACAGTGACACCAGTGCTAGGAGGTCAGCTGAGCGTTGCTATCCTACCAACAGCTACCAGCAGTAACCTTGGGTGGCATGCTGCTCGGAGTTTCTGCGTCAGGCTGCAAAATGTCACAGGGCAGCTCTGGAGATGAAAATTTCCACAGAAGCCCTAGGCGGGGGCAACGGCTTCCTGTTTTCTGACTTGTATTTCAGTTTTGGTTCCTGTAACAAACGGCAAAGCGGCTCTCAGCACCATCAGACAAGTAGGAGCATCAACACACACACAGCCTACCCGTAGCTTTTTGAGGAGCGAATTTCATGGCGATATTTGGGGTTTTTTTGTTTTGTTATTACACTGCTCAGATGGTACAGCATGGACAGTCCACTGTCCCTCAGACCTTGTGGGGGGCCAGACTATATTTTGGGGAAAAAATATGAACGAATTCCTATGCCCCACAAATAACCCAGAGATGCATTTTAAATAAAATGACACATTCTACTCATGTAAAAACACGCTGATTCCCGGACTGTCCGTGGGCCGGATTGAGAAGGCAATTGGGCCACATCCGGCCCCCGAGCCTTAGTTTGCCTACCCATGGGTTAGACTGAAAGGCAGCGATCAGCCCAAGGTCACCCAGTGAGCTTCACAGCCAAGTGGGGATTCAAACCCTTCTCTCCCAGGTTTCCTGGTCCAACAGGCTCCCCAGTTCACCACTGCTTGCTCTCTGTCTGGACACAGAACCATGCCGGCCTTTCGTCTTCCTCAGTCGTGAAAGGAGTTAAAAAACACACACACAACACACCTTGGTTTCAGGAAGGTCAGCGGTCCAAAAGGGAGCTGGCAGCCCTCTATCCAACCCTGCGGAAAGGGACAGCGTGCCTTTGGTGATTGTGAACAGCACTGCGGTTAGGTAATTTTAGACCCTGCACTCGAATGCCCTCCCCGTCCCCTTTGAAGATGCCCTACCTTACAGAGGACAGTCCTCTGTTTGAAGAGCTGCCCTGTCTAAGTCCGGCTGGAAGGACAATGAGAACTGTCAGGGATCTTGGATTTCCCCATCAACAGTTAGGAGCGCAGAATGAGCAGGGATGCAGGCCATACTTGCCCTCTTCTCCACTGCGGTCAGATGTATCATATCTCAACTCTAGAAACGGTCCCCAAATTTGCTACTATATATATATATAAATTGGTGCATTGAGTTCTTATGCAAAACTTGCCTGTGTTTCAAGGGGGTGATGTGTGAATGGACCTCATCTGTGCATTATTTCATTGACTTCAACATGTGCTCAGCTGCTCTACTGTGTGGTTGTTGCTGTTTGGGTTGGGGCTCCTGTTCGTTTTGCTTCATGAGGCTCCAGTCTTCTCCCCCAAAATCCTGCCCTGATGGTGCCACAGAACGTGAAGGGGAGGGAAAATAGAACATGCTTTTTTTCTGAACACGCACAGCTTTGAGAGAGCTTTCAGAAAGACAAAGGGCAAGTTTTCTTTCTTTAAATAATCGTATTTCTGAGTTAGTGTTGTGGAGAAAAGATGCTGCTTTTTAGTTGCTATGCGCAGACTTAGGTCAGAATGACATTTTTGTTGCAGAGCCCCCCTTGGGAGGGCATCTGAAGGCTTGAAACAGCAGATGTTTGCGGGGATTAATCCTTTTGCTGTTTCTGCTAGGCACCCGTCACCTCCTGCCACATTGCTTTTGACCACTTGATCAGTCATCAACAAGGTGTGGAGGCACCACAGTTCAGGAGTAATAATAATAATAATTATTATTTATTTATACCCTGCAAATCTGGCTGGGTTTCCCCAGCCACTCTGAGCAGCTCCCAACAGAATATTAAAGACATGATAAAACATCAAACATTAAAAACTTCCCTAAACAGGGCTGCCTTCAGATGTCTTCTAAAAGTCAGAGAGTTGTTTATTTCCTTGACATCTGGAGGGAGGGCGTTCCACAGGGTGGGCGTCGCTGCCGAGAAGGCCCTCTGCCTGGTTCCCTGCAACCTCACTTCTCACAGTGAGGGAACCTCCAGAAGGCCCTCGGAGCTGGACCTCCGTGTCTAGGTTGAATGATAGGAGTGGAGACACTCCTTCAGGTATACTGGACCGAGGCCGTTTAGAGCTTTAAGGGTCAGCACCAACACTTTGAATTGTGCTCAGAAACGTATTGGAAGCCAATGTAGGTCTTTGAGGACTGGTGTTCTATGGTCTCGGCGGCCACTCACAGTCACCCGTCTCACTGCCGCATTCTGGATTAGTTGTAGTTTCCGGGTCACCTTCAAAGGTAGCCCCACGTAGAGCGCATTGCAGTAATCCAAGCGGGAGATAACCAGAGCATGCACCACTCTGGCGATACAGTCTGCGGGCAAGTAGGGTCTCAGCCTGCGTACCAGATGTCATGTGTCGTGTGCGCTCTGTGGTAATCTCTGGGTCACAGGAACCCAGGATGTTGTGGCAGCAACTTGAATAGAATACTGGGGGGCTGTCCCCTGCTGCAAGTTCACCAGAAGGATGGAGGGAGCGAGGGAGGCTGGAGCCAAGCGAGCACAGACGAGTGTGAGGCTGTTCTGCCTTCCTCCCTCGTCCAGGCTTCCAAGGCCCAGGCAGTCAGGCTCTGGGCATGAGAGGCCTTGCTGTCTGGGCTGGGTCTGGCGCTGAGAGGCTGAGCCAGGGGGCTTGCAAGGGGACAATGGCAGGAACAGCCCTCACTGCACCGTCATCTCCCTGCCTAGATGCCAGCAAGCGGCAGACAAGTCTCCTTTGTGGCGGGGGAATCGCGGGGCATTAGGTCCATGCCAAGGCTGTCAGAGGATAGGAAGGAGTTCGCCCCTGGAGAGAGGGGGACAAGTCGTCAACTGGTTGCCTTACTTGCGCTCACACACAGTGGTGGCGGCAGAGGAACCTGGGATGGCTCAGCAGAGTCAATTGGGGGAGCAATTTTTTTGGGGGGGGGATGCTGAAGGGGTCTGGGCCCCATAGAGTGGGCCCCTATGCCAGGAAGCTGCTTTCTACCAAGTCACAGACGATTTGGTCCATCTAGCTCAGCATTGTTGATCCTGGCTGGCAGAAAGTTTCCAGGTTTCCACGCAGGAGAGTCTTTTGCAGCCAGGCTTGGAGATACTGGGGGTATAACTGAGGACCTTTTACAAGCAAGGCATATGCTCTAGCATCTGGTCAGCTCCCTTCCCTAGTAGCTTGTGGTGTCCTTGAAATAATCTTGTTGACTGAGATCCAGGCAGCTACTTCAAGAAGAAGCTGGAGGGAGCCTTTCTTTTTAAAATAACAGACTCCCACCATATCCTAGATGCAGACTCACCTGAGTTTCAAAAGTAGTTTAGCTTGAGGAGGAATGCACTGCTGTTTCACAAATCCAGAACCTGGCCGGAATGATGAAACTGGTCATTCAGTCCTTTGGATAGTGACCTTTATTTATAAATCTGCAGTCTGCTCAGTTATTTGCCCAGTTCGGATGATTATATCTCGGCTTAATAAGCCAAGATGTAAACAACGATTCTGGCTCCACATGCCACCCCTTCCCTCCTCTCTTCTTGGTGTGCCTTGGTGCAGCCTTCAATTAACCACAGTTTCCTGTTTCGTTTGAACTGGGAAACTGTGGTTATCAGCCTCAAAACAAGCCATGATAATAACACTAACACACACACACAATTTGAAGATCCTTTGAGATTCTGGCTTCTTCCGAGGCTTATAACCATAGAGTCCTGGTCTGGGTGTAAAATGAAACTATGGTTACTTAAAGAGTTCTGGGTTTATTTCTGGTGTATTGAGAAAAGGGAGGAAGGAGCAGGTGCTACACGAAGCTAATGTAAGCCAAGATAGGATCATGTGAACCGGGTCATGATCTGTCTAGCAGCAAACACCTTGTGACCCTGTAATATGGATTTCGTTCAGGTCACTGAAATTTTGATCAGCTCCACACACAGCAAACCAAAACTCTTCTTACAAATGTAAACCTGGAGAATGTCTTCAGCTGCCGAGAGATTCCCAGGTATGTTTGGCCCACCAAATGGCATCTTGTTGCAACTAATTACCCATTAATCAGCTTCATTGTCCCATCCATGATGCTTAGGTGAAGAGATTTCTCTGCCGTGCTTGACTGAAGCATAGACTCATCAGCAGAATAGTGAAGGCCAGATGCAGCATTTGGAGAGCAGGGGATACAGTTTGAAAACATTTTGTGCAGTGCCAAGACCCCTTTTCTATGCCATTCCCCCTTGCAGTAAAACAATGCACTGTACGTTAATAAGGGGAGGAACAAACCGCAATCAAAGGTACTTATTGGCCAGCATCTGTGACATCACCAACCCCGTGGAGCAGTTTTACAGAGGTTGTTAACATGCTCATAATACTGTGTGTGTGAAAAGGTGAAGAATGAGTTTATACAGATACCTATGCTACTTTACACTTTTTAAATTTTGTTTTAAGCAGACTTGAAGCATAGGGACAAGACCAATAGCTGAACCATTTCAGGTTGCTAGTATAATTGTGACCTTGCAACTGACCCTCTCTCCACCTTCTCCACCTTGCTTACTGCTCCTATGTCCGTGGCATTTGTTGTAGCTCAAGATGGATGAGGTGGGGGGTGCTCAGATAGAGGGGCCCATGGAGATCAGGTGGGGAGTGGGGACATGGTACAATGGGGGGATGGGGCTGTTGAGAGGTGGACAAAGCCGTTTCTCTTTTGCCTCCCAAAGCAGAGGGGGCAGCTGCTGTACGTGAAGAAGTGCCATGAAGTTCATTTTGTGCAAACCGGCGCAGAGGGAAATGGCAACAATAGGAATTCTCAAGAGCGGGGAAGGCAGATAAGAAGGGGTAACGGGCTGGAGGAGGAGAGGAAGATCACTGTGAAAGGAGAACCTTGTTTTCTGTTTCCAAACTATACATTCTATCTGTAACGATGCTCCATGGTTTTGCTGGACATACATAGAGAAGGTGGTGGTGTTGGGACACACAAACACCACGAAACGTGGTACTAGTCCTTTTGACTCTCTCCCTACTTTGTGCATGAGGGTTCCATTGTGATTCATACTTGCCTTATATTGAGCCACACCACAGGTTAGAATTGTCTACTGCAATGCGCTCTACGTGGGGCTACCTTTGAAGGTGACCTGGAAACTACAACTAATCCAGAATGCGGCAGCTAGACTGGTGACTGGGAGTGGCCACCGAGACCATATAACACTGGTCCTGAAAGACCTACATTGGCTCCCAGTAGGTTTCCGAGCATAATTTAAAGTGTTGGTGCTGACCTTTAAAGCCCTAAACGGCCTCAGCCCAGTATACCTGAAGGAGCGTCTCCACCCCCATCGTTCAGCCCGGACACAGAGGTCCAGCTCTGAGGGCCTTCTGGCAGTTGCCTCCCTGCGAGAAGTGAGTTTGCAGGGAACCAGGCAGAGGGCCTTCTCGGTAGTGGCGCCTGCCCTGTGGAACTTCCTGCCACCAGATGTCAAGGAAATAAACAACTATCTGACTTTTAAAAGACATCTGAAGGCAGCCTTGTTTAGGGAAGTTTTTAATGTTTGATGTTTTATCGTGTTTTTAATATTCTGCTGGAAGCCACCCAGAGTGCCAGATGGGCAGGGTATAAATAATAAATTATTATTATTATTACTCAGATTGGCAATAGCTCTCCAGGGTTTCAGATCAAGCTCTCTCCCTGCCATACCTGGAGATGCCAGGGCTTGAACCTGCGACCTTCTGTATGCAAGGCAGTTGCTCTGCCACTGAGCTATGGTGCTGCAGGGTGGGGGCTCAGGCCTCTAAAGAAAGAAGTCACGTCCTCTGCACACAGCTCACTTACTCCCAGGGTGCAGAGGTGGGCTGTGTGTGTGTGTGTGTGTGTGTGTGTGTGTGTGTGTGTGTGTGTTTTGAAAGCAAACTCTATCTACGCCCAGAGGCAGTCTGTTGATTGTGACCTCCCATTTCAAAGCTCAGCCTTGGCATTTAACAACAAGTTCTCCATTTGGGTCAAGCGATTGATTTGTCAAAAATGGGAGGTACCCGGATCAGACTTGCCTGCGAATCACAAACCCTCTGATCTTAAAGCCCTCACCCCCCAAGTCCATGGCAGGGGCGGACTTTGGTCTTTCAAATTTCAATGGTGCCCTGTGCGAGGACAAAATTTGTCACCCGCCTCCTCTTGCCTTCTCTTCTGTGCATGTTATGGTTGTGACGCCCTGTGGTGCCCACTTTGTCTTGGCACCCAGTGCGAGGGAACCGGTCGCGCTGCCCTAAATCTGTCTCTGTCCATGCTGTTACAGCTTGTCTGTGGATATCTACGGGGCACTCCTCTCATGCTCAGAAGCACACTCTCCTTGATAGTTACCTCAGTTGTTCCTGGGACAACCCTAGCATTCAAAGCAGACTTAATAGTCCATAATAAGGCTACGTGCAACTTGATGAGCTGTGATAGTTAAGTGGATTCCTGATCAGAGCCACCAGATACAATTATAATTTTGTTATTTATATGCTGCCTATCTGACTGGATTGCCTAGCCACTCTGGGCAGCTCCCAACAAAATATTAAAAACACAGTAAAACATCAACTGTTAAAAACTTCCCTGAACAAGGCTGCCTTCAGATGTCTTCTGAAAGTTAGGTAGTTGTTTATCTGTTTGGCATCTGATGGGAGGGTGTTCCACAAGGCAGGTGCCACTACCGAGAAGGCCCTCTACCTGGTTCCCTGCAGCTTCATGTCTCAAAGTAAGGGAATTGCTAGAACATGGGTAGGCAAACTAAAGCCCGGGGGCCAGATCCGGCCCAATTGCCTTCTAAATCCAGCCCGCGGACGGTCCAGGAATCAGCATGTTTTTACATGAGTAGAATGTGTCCTTTTATTTAAAGTGCATCTCTGGGTTATTTGTGGGGCATAGGAATTCATTCTCCCCCCCCCCATATAGTCTGCCCCCCCCCAAGGTCTGAGGGACAGTGAACTGGCCCCCTGCTGAAAATGTTTGCTGACCCCTGCACTAGAAGGTCCTCGGAGCTGGACCTCAGTGTCCAGGCTGGATGGTATATTTTTGTTCTCCCCATTTCCCATGCAAATAGGATATTCGGGGCAATGCAACGGGGCCGCTTTTCCTGTGTAGGAGATTATGGCTGCTGTCTTTGCAAACCACGTCCATGGGAAACGGCGAAAGGATGCCTCTCTGGTGATTCGAATTGAAACTGACCGTGGCTTGTTTACAAGAGATGGTGTGCAGGGCAGCAAGTGGGAGGCAGGGTCAGGGGAATTAGCAGTATTATTGGAGCATCTACGCATGGACAGCTGGCTGAGATCGATACTCCCTCCTCCATCCTTTTGTCTAGGTTATGGCACAAGTAAAATCCTGCCTCACTTTGCCCGCCCCCTCCTGTGCTGCTTCATCATTCGTGTACACATGTCCGGTTCAGGCTCAGCTGCTTCATTTAGGGATATTGTCTCTTCCCAAAGCAAAGCTGGTGTGCAAAAGGAGACCAGGAATGGGGGTTCTGCTACTGCTGTTGGAGGATGAAGGTCCTGAAAGGTCACCCACATGGGATATAAAATAACTTTTCAACTGTCATAGTGCAAGGCCGGCAGTGTTGCTGGTGTGAGCTGTGAATGGTGCACCTCCCTTTTCTATTTTGTTTTCAGTATCTCACTAACCCTTGAAAAGACACGCTACATCTTGCAAGGCGAAGCAATTTCCTCTGGTTCCTTGGCAGGCGCCATTCAAGGCGCTCTGCCTCTTAAAGGTAAAGGGACCCCTGACCATTAGGTCCAGTTGTGGACGATTCTGGGGTTGCAGCGCTCATCTCGCTTTATTGGCCGAGGGAGCCGGCGTACAGCTTCCGGGTCATGTGGCCAGCATGACTAAGCCACTTCTGGCAAACCAGAGCAGTGCACGGAAACGCCGTTTACCTTCCCACCAGAGTGGTACCTATTTATCTACTTGCACTTTGATGTGTTTTTGAACTGCTAGGCTGGCAGGAGCAGGGACCGAGCAACGGGAGCTCACCCATCATGGGGATTTGAACCGCCGACCTTCTGATCGGCAAGTCCTAGGCTCTGTGGTTTAACCCACAGCGCCACCCGCGTCCCATTCCACCTCTTACGTTGCAGCATAAGGGATGCCACAGTCACATGCAAAGTGCATGCTTGGGGATGAGGTTTGGGACGGTTGTGGGGATCTGAGTTTGCACAGGTGCAGGGACTCTGGGGGAGAAGGTGAAGAGAGAAATGTTGTTTTCTCCCTCGTAACACTTAGACATCCAGTGAAGCACCAAACATTTGATGGCTGGATCATCAAAGTGTTGTTGTTTGCAGCGCAGGCGGGTCATTGTGTTGGCCGAGAAGCAAATGTTGAAAAAGCAGAGTAAGTTTCTAAGTAAGCAAGTAAGTAAGCAAGCAACTTCCGCCCTCACACCTGCCACTGCTTCCCATTTTGTCTGAGTGCTGCGTTGCAAAAACACTTATCAGCCACGAAAATGCAATGACTAAGGCTGTGCCAGAGCTTCCTGTAGCGTCTGATTATACCAAAGTTGAACAAATGGTTGCTTCAGCATCTGTGTATAGGTGTGCTTTATATATATATATTCATCTGCATGCAAAGACAGGCTCAGGCAGATTGAGCGGAAGAGACCAATAGTGGGTCCAGCAGTCAAGAAGGCATCTTCTTCACAAGTTGTAGGAGGAAGTGAGGGGCAGATAGAGCTTAGGAGAAGGAAAATTCTGATCCTAAACCTCTGCTGTCTAGCTGAATATCTTCAGGAGAAGAAAAGGCTAAGACATAAACCTAAATAATGCGTACAGAAATGCATCTACTAAGTAAAGCGTGCATAGAAATGAATCTTCTAGTAAAAATAACAAAGACACATTGCATAGTAGGGTAAACTGCTTGCAGAAATGCATATATTAGGCAAATTTGTCTCTTAGGAGAAATTTGCAATAAAATACTGACATGTCTTCATGAGTGCAGTATTTTAGTGCAAATTTCTGTTTTTTAACAGTTGCAAACTGATGTCAGAATGTGGAGAAGTAAAGGCAGGAAAAAGGAGAAAGTGAGATGGAAGGATCCACCTGTTCCTCGCAGAAGGTAGATCTCCAGGTAGTTTGCAGTAGATAATAATAATAAAAGTAATAATAATTTATTATTTATACCCCGCCCATCTGGCTGGGCTTCCCCAGCCACTCTGGGTGGCTTCCAACAAAATATTAAAATACAGTAATGCATCAAACATTAAAAGCTTCCCTAAACAGGGCTGCCATCAGATGTCTTCTAAAAGTCTGGTAGTTGTTGTTCTCTTTGACATTCTGGTGGGAGGGCGTTCCACAGGGCAGGTGCCACTACTGAGAAGGCCCTCTGCCTGGTTCCTTGTAACATCGCTTCTCGCAGGGAGGGAACCACCAGAAGGCCCTCAGCGCTGGACCTCAGTGTCCGGGTAGAACGATGGGGGTGGAGACGCTCCTTCAGGTATACTGGAATGAGGGCGTTTAGGGCATGGGTTTCTCCAGCTGTTTAACAATAGCAACAACAAGCCAACTTCCCCACCTAAATTAGGCTACTTGAAACGAAGAAAGCTTACTAAGAACAGACTTTCACGTAAAAGGGCGGAGAACTCTTTTTCAGATCTGCAAACGGATTACTCGGCTCAACAGGCACTCAGAGGTGCCCTGTTCTTTAATTCCATGCATTTTGCACCCAGTTGCAGAGGCATCACTAATGAATGGCATTCAGGGATGCTGACTTGAGCCTCAGGTTATGGGTGTCCAATGGTGCCCATGATGTAACGTGATGTCATGACATCACGTTGTGTCGGTGGCACAGCGGCGCTTCTGAGGCCTCTTAGGGCCTACCTGGACACTGAGGTCCAGCGCCGAGGGCCTTCTGGCGGTTCCCTCACTACGAGAAGCCAAGTTACAGGGAACCAGGCAGAGGGCCTTCTCGGTAGTGGCACCCGCCCTGTGGAACGCCCTCCCACCAGAATGTCAAAGAGAACAACAACTACCAGACCTTTGGAAGACATCTGAAGGCAGCCCTGTTTAGGGAAGCTTTTAATGTTTGATGCATTACTGTATTTTAATATTTTGTTGGAAACCGCCCAGAGTGGCTGGGGAACCCCAGCCAGATGGGCTGGGTATAAATAAATTATTATTATTATTATTATTATTATTATTATTACAGTGGTACCTCTGGATGCGAATGGGATCTGTTCCAGAGCCCCGTTCGCATCCAGAAGTGAACGCTCTACGCATCAGCACGTGCGCGGGTCGTGCTTTGCAGCTTCCATGCATGCGCGTGACGTCATTTTGACCGTCTGCACATGCGTGAGTGGCAAAACCCAGAAGTAACGCGCTCCGTTACTTCCAGGTCGCCGCAGCATGCAACCCGAAAATACTTATCCCGAAGCTACTTCAACCCAAGGTATAGCTGTATTATTAAGTCTGAGGCCTCATGAGACCTCCTGCGCAACTTCCTGTTTCTACCGGAAATCGCGTTTGGAGGACTGGCAGGGCCTCTGACGTCATCTGGGAGGTCAGAGCCCTGACCCAACTTCCAGTAGAAATCGGAAGTCACATCAGAACCCCGCATTGTGGGTGCTAAGCACCCACAATTTGTGTGTATGTATGTGGGTGCCCCGGTTCTTGTTTTGCCACCTTAGTGCCGTTGGGTAGGAATCCTGGTCTGGATTCCTGAAGATGTCCTGGCCTCCGTTAGCTCGCAGGCGTGACTTCCACCATATGTGTGCCTGCTGAGTCACGGCACTGCTTGGCAGGTTGGCACACTCCTTCCCAGGGCTTGGCAGCTTGTGAGTGGGCAGAGCTTTTTGGTACAGCTCGGCTCAGTTCTTCGCTGTTCCAGGGAAAGGCGAGAGGAGTCATCTGTCAGGATGGGGGTGGAGGACAAGAGATGGAGCACGAGGCCATTCCAGACTGACCAGGCGTCTTCCACCCCAAGGGGGTTTGGAGAGACATCTGACTACTTTCGCTTCCACCTTTGACCACCTTTGAGATGTCGAGATTTTCCCTGAGGCCTGTCTATTATTATTATTATTATTATTATTATTATTATTATTATTAGTCTTCCTTTAATACTCACAAGTATATCTTTACATCATAACTTTACATCTTGCAATTATGCATATTCTTATTTTCAAAGTAGGTTCATGATTGCTGTTATCATAGATCGGCAAACATTGCTGTACACAAGGAAGAAGAAGAAAGGGGGAAAAGGAGGGGGAGGGGAAAAAGAAGGATTTTTAGTAGTTTCTGTGGATAACAATTCTAAAAGGAAAATTGATATATAAGAAAACATTATAAATAAAAAGACGATGAATATAGGAGGTAAGTTTATTGGTACAAAATGGAAGAGACGGGAAGTCACTTGTTTATGAAGAATATTATCAGTTTAAAATTACATCTCCCCCCCCCCTTTTCCCTGAGGCCTGTCATGGGCCATGGCCACCACTTCGGATGGCTTTAAAAGAGGATCAGACAAATTCACGGAGAATTAGGCAGAAACAACAATAACAACAACAGCAACAATAATTTTATTATTTATATCCCGCCCATCTAGCTGGGTTTCCCCAGCCACTAAGGCTACTAAGGATCTCAAAGGATCTACGTTGGGTCCCAGTGCATTTCCAAGCACAATTCAAAGTGTTGTTGCTGACCTAATTTGAAGCCCTAAGCAGCTTTGACCCTGCATACCTGAAGGAGCATCTCTAACCCCATCATTCAGCTCAGACGCTGAGATCCAGACACATTCAGCCTGGACACTTCTGGTGGTCCTCTCATTGCAAGAAGCAAAGTTACAGGGAACCAGGCAGAGGGCCTTCTCGGTAGTGGCGCCCATCCAGATGTCAAGGAAATAAACAACTATCTGACTTTCAGAAGACATCTGAAGGCAGCCCTGTATAGGGAAGTTTTTAATGTTTGATGTCTTATTGTGTTTTAATTTGGTGGGAGCTGTCCAGAGTGGCTAGGGTAATCCAGTTAGATGAATGACATATAAATTATTATTATTATTATTATTATTATTACCAGAGTGGCTATATTCTGCCTCCACAGTTTGAGGCAGTATGCCTCTGAATGACATTTGCTGGGAATCCCCGCAGGGACTGTGCTGTTGCATTCAGATTCTGCTTGCAGGCTCCCCATAGGCAACCAGGAGAACAGACTGTTGGACTAGATGGGCCTTGGCCTGATCCAGCACTCTCTTCTTACGTTCATGTCTTTAGATAGCCAGAGTTGAATTGTCAGCCCATCTGTTTTTATACTTTTTGCCATTGGCTCTGCAAGCTCCTTGCCCAATTCTCTCTGTTCGTAGTACAGTCGTACCTCGGAAGTCGAATGGAATCCATTCCGGAAGTCCGTTCGACTTCCAAAACGTTCGGAAACCAAGACGCAGCTTGCGATTGGCTGCAGGAAGCTCCTGCAGACAATTGGAAGGTGCGACGGACATTTGGGTTCCAAAGAATGTTCACAAAGCAGAACAGTCACTTCCAGGTTTGCAGCGTCCGGGAACCAAAATGTTAATCTCACAAGGCATTTGACTTCCAAGGTACAACTGTACACCATCATGGGGAATTTTAAAGGATAAAATGCAGAAGGGAGGGGCTGGTCTGTGACGGGTAAGATTTTTTCTTTCATTTATTTTTAGTTAACAAGATTTGTATCCAAAACCTCTCAAGCAGGGCACGTGACATTTTAAACATCCATTAAAACGTACCAATAAAATCGAAAGTTGCACAAGATTTGAAATGTGAAACCAGGAGTTTTAAATAAAATAGACACAATAAAATGACATGTTAAAATTATGTATTAACATTATACAGTGGTACCTCGGGTTACAGACGCTTCAGGTTACAGACACTTCAGGTTACAGACTCCGCTAACCCAGAAATAGTATCTTGGGTTAAGAACTTTGCTTCAGGATGAGAACAGAAATCGTGCGCTGGGAGCAGGAGGCCCCATTAGCTAAAGTGGTACCTCGTGTTAAGAACCATTTCAGGTTAAGAACGGACCTCCGGAATGAATTAAGTTCTTAACCCGAGGTACCACTGTATTTCTGGGTAGCCTTGCCTAAACAAAGAAGTTTTTTTAGCAGGTGCTGAAAACCACACAACAAAGGACGCTGCCTAGTGTTAATTTGCAGGGAGTGTGCCAGAGAGGGAATGGGTGGGCGCAGCTTCTGAATCTTTGAGTCTATAATCCCAAGCAGTCTGTTTCTGCAAGATTCTCGGGCTTTGAGGTACCTCCTTGGCAAGGGAAGGTCCATCAATATGGAGCAAGCCGTCTTTTCGCAGCAAGTGTGAAAATCCACCCATATCATGACTACGCAGAGCACATAAAAGCCGAAAGCAGCTTTCTGCAGTGATGTCCAAACTGCTTGGTCTGGTCTGGGTTCCTGCTATGCCAGACACTTACTTCTCTGCTATGTCTAGGGGGCTGAGCTATGCAATAAATGTTAAGAACTCAGTAATTGCCTTGCTGGATTACCACCAGATCCATCTCGCTCAGCATTCGGTTTCCAATAGCAACCAGCCTCTGGGAAGCTTCCAAGCAAGGCGCAAAGGAGGTCGCCACCTTTGAGTTGCTGCTTCTGCCCGGCGCCTGGTCCTCGGAGGTAGATTACCTCTAAATACAGAGGGTCCATTTGTCCATTTGTCCAACACAATAGCCATTAGTGTGCTTCCTGAATTGAACTGGTGCTGTGTGCGTTTAAGAGCTGCTTGTGTGAGCAGTCGAATCCCCGCGACGGGGATTGCTCTGTCCCAGCTCCTGCCAACCACCAGTTTGAAAGCACACCAGTGCACGTAGATACAGTGGTACCTCGGGTTACAAACACTTTGGGTTACAAACACTTTGGGTTACAGACTCCACTAACCCGGACGTAGTACCTCAGGTTAAGGATGAGAACAGAAATTGCGCGGCAGCGGAGGAAGGCCCCATTAGCTAAAGTGGTACCTCAGGTTAAGAATGGTTTCAGGTTAAGAATGGACCTCCGAAACGAATTAAGTTCGCAGCCACTGTAAATAGGTACCGCTGTGGCGGGAAGGTAAACGGCATTTCCTTGCGCTCTGGTTTCCGTCACAGTGTCGCGTTGCGCCAGAAGCGGTTTAGCCATGCTGGCCACATGACCTGGAAAGCTGTCTGTGGACAAATGCTGGCTCCCTCGGCCGGAAAGCGAGATGAGCGCCGCAACCCCATAGTCGCCTTTGACTGGACTTAACCGTCCAGGGGTCCTTGCCATTTTTACCTTTGCAAGGAAGGACCGGACTCAGTAAAGCAGATCATATTATGCAGCAACAGAGCAGAGGTGAGTGTTTTAGCCAGGCTGGAATATGTCCCTGAACTCTGAGAATGCTTCTTACTTGCCTGGATGAAGGATTGTGTGTTTGTCGGTGTGTGAAGAAATCAGCCTAGGATACAAAAGCAAAATTCACATGGCATACCGGCTCCTGGGAGGCTGCCCAGAGGGGAATGTGGCTCTCGGGCTCCTCCCACCCTGACACAGAACAAGGAAACAAGACACAGACATGCCCCGTTCACAGAAGTGTTGGTACAGCATCATTTCTCTTTTCATCCGTTGCACAACTTCATACGAGAAGGCTGCGTATATAGGAGCCGACAAACGTGAACTTCAAGTGAGAGTGGAGAATGCGCAGGTCAGCCCTAAATATAGCCATGAGCCATGGTGATTTCCCACGATGCCCTGCACAATGCACATATATATACCAATTCCTTTTTATTGGTTTTACAAATACAAAGCACAAATAAACACAAGCTAGTAAAAACATATCTGTATCAAGAGATTCTCTGAATCTCGAGACTTCCCCCCATCCCTTCCTTGGAGTCTTATTTTAAGCATCTGCAACTGCATATTCATGCATACTCCAATTCTTATATCAAACCATATTATCCATAGTATTTTTTTCACTACTAGTGAGTCAAAATCCTGCTCTTGTTTCCATCTGCTTACAGTGGTCTCCTAGGTAACTTATAATTCCCCCCCATTCTTTTATAAAGTTTTTCTCCTCTTGGTTTCTGAATTTTCCAGTCAGCTTTGCTATCTCAGCATAGTCCATCAGCTTGGTTTGCCATTGTCCTCTGGTAGAGACTTTGTCTTCTTTCCAGCTCGGGCTAGTAGCATCCGGACGGCTGTTGTTCCACACATAAAAAGTCTTTTCTGATCCTTTGGGATGTTGGTTCCTAATAGAAAAGCTTCTGGTTTCTTCACAAAAGTTGGCGTAACAGAAAATGGCTGCCACGAGGGCATGGAATAACGCAAGATGCCACCTCTGAAAGAGCAGAAAAGAGACCTGCATGCACACAGGGCCGGATTTAGGTTTGATGAGGTCCTAAGCTACTGAAGGTAACGGAGCCCTTATATGTCCAGCTGTCCTTTGTCAACAACAAATGGTCGCTGTTTTTTGTTGTTGAATATATGCTATATGGCAATGTATGGACCTAATAGGTATCTAAAGCCATTTGCATATAACAAAATATGTATTTTTTCAAAGTAATTGTTGAACTGAAATACAATTAAGAAGAAGTACAGTATATTAATAGTGAAATTGGTTTTGGAACAGACTTCTGGAATGGATTAAGTTTGAGAACCAAGGTACCACTGTACAGTATATAGAAATGAGCAAACCAGTGATATTTTAGGGAGCAGGCTAGCAGGTGGGGCCCATGTCTTACATCATAGAAGCCAACAAAACACTGTTGCTGTATGTAGGTTTTATTTGATTTGATTTTTATCTTACATTTTGGAAATGTACATCCAGTTTTGTTTCCCTTTAATTTTTGGCAGGGCCTCCAAGAGAGTGGGGCCCTAAACTGTAGCTTGTTTAGCTTATATGTAAATCTGGCACTACATGTACCCCTCCTCATACATTAGCCGTACATGTTGTGTTTGGAACAGATGAGAGGGTGGGCAGCAAATCCTGGCAACCGGTGAAGGCTGGGTATGTTTAAGAGGATGTGTTCAGTGTAGGAGAGGCCAAGTCAGTGCTAACACGAACTGAACAGCAAGAGCCAACAATCTCTCATGCGTTGTGGATTTTTGAGGAGATATTTACTGAAACTTGTTGTGGGCGCAGCAGGATGTATTGGTGGGTGCCATATTGTTAATCACTTGAGCAGAGAAGGTGGTGTTGCATCAGGAATCCCCTCAGACTGTGTAAAGAGATGGCTCACATAAGTGAGCCTAGCTATGTATAATTAGAGAATGAAATGATGAAATAAAAGTGACTATTACCCATTCTGACGAGAGAGGGATTTCCTTCCAGACCACATATGTATAGGCAAGAGTGCCCTTGACATGGGAGTGGAGAGGAAAATGACAGTCTAGAAGGATGAAAAAGGAAAAGGAAAAATCCATAGTTTCCTAAGGAAAAATAGGATTTTTCTTCTTATTATTGATATTTCATTAGAAGAATTTCATTTATGAAAAGGTAGAGTGAGAAAAAAAGAAAGGAAAGAGTGAGAGTGGAAAAAGAAAAATACTGTTGTGCAAGAATATACAGATGTGCATATTCTTATTAGCCAAATACACACGTAATTGTCAATAAACTAATATATTCTGTGTAACTTCATTCCAGATATCATTGTATTTATCCAAGCTGTCCTTTCATATGCTGCCAAAGTTATCGTATTGTCAAACCATTGATTAAGGGGAACCGTATCTTTATTCTTCCAATTCATCAGTGTTGGTCCCTTGGCCACCATTAGGGTGCATAGAATCCATTTTCGCTGTCCTGTTGTCAATTTCTGTACAATGGGTACAGTTCAAAAACAGGACAACTAGGGGGGAATCCCATGAATGCGCCTAAACCACTTGCGCTCCCTCTCCCAGCTGCGTTTTAATCTCCTGACAGGTCTATTTTGAGTAATAATTTTCTGAGCCCAACGGATCTGCTGAGGGTTTTACTAAACCCTGAGAGGCAGGGGGGACGGGGCTAATCAGGACTCATATTAATTCCAAACTTCCATTCTCTTCCCACACATGAGCTCAGAAAGCGTGTTTTCTCCTCCTATTTTATTTTCCGTGTTCCTTTGCATCCATAGATGGGACTGAGCGTGGTGGAGACCCCCCACTCCCTGTCCTTGACTAGGCATCGCAGGTGGTGGGTGCAAAGGCAAGGCAGGGGCAGGCCGAACGGCTACCCTGGCAGCTTAATTGATGCCACCGTGGGTTTTGGGAGCGGGGTGTTTTCGTGCTTTCTGTCTCTGGCTGTGACAGCCTTTGCGGCTTTGATTACAGGATAGAGCGAGCCTGAGAGGATTGGAGGCGGAAGAGGATGGAAGTTGCAAAGGGGCGGGGATGAATCTCCTAAGCGGGGAAGCGTACGTACAGGGATTGCAGCTAAATCGGGATCTGCGGAGGGCTCAAAGTGTGTGTTTGGCGGGGCGGGACGGATACGTGAACTTTCCGAAGTCAAGGGGAAAGAGTGAGAAAGCTAAAGGGAAAGAATTCGTCCTTTGATCTGTGAAAAGAAGGCAGGAAAGGGTGAACAAATGTAGGAGAGGTTTTGGGCCGGCCCTGCCATTAGGCAGAGTGAAGCTGCCGCCTCAGGTGGTGCATTCTTGGGGGTTGGGGAGTGGCAATAAGGCGTTGGAGGAAAGAGCTATGTTGTGCCAGTCGGCTTGCCCTTCATCTCCTAAGCTAGTGGAGGATGCTGTCTTGTCACCTGTGTTGAAGTAACGTTCAAGTCAATTAAGGTTGCCCTATGAATCAACTCAGGTTCTGTATGTGGATCAGGGAAAACTTGGTCTTGTGCTTTGCCCTAGATAGCAAAATGCCTTGGAATGGCCCCAAGAGAGAGCATTTAAGGAAGAAAGGGGAATGAGGACTATTCAAGTAACAGCAAAAGATTGAGGTCCTGGTTCCCACTCCTATCCCTCCACATGCTCATTTAACTCCTTCTTGCAATGCCTGGAGATGTCAGAAGGTTTGCTTGTTTGTTCGGCCAGTTGGGAACAGTGGTACCTTGGGTTAAGTACTTAATTTGTTCCAGAGGTCCGTTCTTAACCTGAAACTATTCTTAACCTGAAGCACCAGTTTAGCTAATGGGGCCTCCTGCTGCCACTGCGCCGCCGGAGCACGATTTCTGTTTTCATCCTGAAGCAAAGTTCTTAACCCGAGGTACTATTTCTGGGTTAGCGGACTCTGTAACCTGAAGTGTATGTAACCTGAAGTGTATGTAACCCGAGGTACCACTGTACATTTGAAATTTTGAGGCAGTTCCGTGGGCACCATTCGCAAAATGGCTGACGTAGGGGATGCGGCATAACATAAAATGGCTGCCTCATGTAAAAGAGCAGAAAAAGAGACAGGAAGACAAAATATTGTTGTTGTAATTTATTAAGTCTGTATACTGCCCTATACCCGCAAGTCTCAGGGCGGTTCACAGGATACAATTACGATGTAAAAACACAAAATGCATAATCAAAATAGAAATAACCAAATAACGCTCCCTCCCACACAGGCACTTTAAAAGGGCATTGGACGGTACTGTTGCAGCTCTCAGTAGAAAACAGGCACCGGCATGCTCTTTGTGTCTCTCTGTTCAGAACAGAAGGTCAAGTGGACATGTTGAGTGAGGCATGTTAAATATAGGAGATGCCGACCGGAAAGAGCAAGCCGTCTCATGCATGGTGTGTGAAGTGCGAAGTGTAGGTGGGTTTCCTCGAGTCAAGACACAGTGATAACATCAAGAACTTCTATCGAACTATCAGAACTGAACAACAGGGGCAAAGCAACAGCTTATATACATTTCTGAAGGCCTGGGCCACTCCCACTCCCAACGTGATTGGCTGTCTAAACTTCCAAGCTGTGAATCATGACTCAGAGTTTAAGGGCCAATGGCAGAGGCCCAAATCCTGAAATGTTCTGTGATTGGATATCATGTATCGAATCAGAACACAGGGGCTCAGAATCCTGAGTCCAGACTCAAGCTCAGGCACAGACCCCACTGAATGCATAACAGGGGATTTCCGAGAGGATATTTTCAGAGAACTTTCATGAGCTGCAGTAGAGGTACTGAAAGGCACATTGGTGCCCGCAGGCACTGGGTTGGCGACCTGTGGCTTACACAGAATGGTCTAAATACAGTACCAGGTGGGTTATTCATTCACTCTGTGTTTCTAAATTGTGCAGTGAAACAGCAAACCTGGGCCATGGAAACAAGTCTCGGTTGTAATCATGTAGAGGGGTTGATTGGGGTGACCTCCCTGCATCTGTGCTCAGGTGTCAACTGTCTGCGATGTTGGCAACTCACATCAAGGCAAGCACAGAGCTGCTGGGGAAGTGATGCCATCAGTTAATTTCGTGTTGTAATTACAGATGGATGCGAGGGGGCAAAACAAGCGAAGAGATATCACTTATTCATGATTACATGGGGCTTTTCGGTAACTAAAGTTTTGCCTGTTCAGAGGGCAAAGGAGCCCTGCAACAGACAAACAAAAACAAACAAACTCATGAGTGAAACCATGGCTCCATAATCCCTGGATTCCCTTTTGGCAAGCCTCTTGCCTTCTACAATGAGAGAAATGAGGCAAAATGGTGTAAACGCGAATTCTGCTCATTCATTCGGCAAGAAACTAGCCTGCCCCAGCCTTTCAATGTTTTAAACCAATGAATGAAGTAATTTAGGGAAGTGGATCTAGCCAATAAAACAAAGAGAAGGCAACTAGAATGATGCTCCTGTCATCTGGAGAAGAAACTTCTTGGGTCATTTTTAAGCCTTTAATTTTCGTCCTTGGTAGAGAAGTGATTGCTGCACCATATAAAACAATTCAGATGTCCAAAGTTTTAGTAAGTTTGTGTGTCTACCTAAAAACAAATGTAGCAGCAAAGAGAGGAGTTCACCATTTTTCTACCTCAGCTCAAATTCTAACACTTTGAATTGTGCTTGGAAACGTACTGGGAACCGACGTAGGTCTTTCAGGACCAGTGTTATATGGTCCCACTCAGTCACCAGTCTGGCAGTTGCATTCTGGATTAGTTGTAGTTTTTTAGTCACCTTCAAAGGTAGCCCCTCGTGGAGTGCATTGCAGCAGTCAAAGCATTGCAAACTGAATTCACCTTGCGTTCAAACAACTAGTCACTTTACCAAATCAATGTACCATGTCAAACCGAATTAACGCCACTTATCCGGTATTGCTCAAATTAAGGACAAGTTACAAATTTTATTTAAGCATATACCAGCACTTTTGGTATGGCAGACCCAGAAGTCAGCTTGCAATAAAAGCAAATTTCAATTCTAGAACGATAGAAGTGGGGAGTTTGAAAGGTTAAATACTGAACAGATTCATTACAAATTCATCCCAGGGATAAGGACTGTTTCGTGTGAATATGAGAGGATATATAAATATGGATTCTGACTTAGGAGGTAAGAAGTGAGAGCCAGTTTGGCCTTGTGAGATGGCGGAACAAGGAATCAAGCCCTGTTTGTCGAAGGCTATGGGCGTAGGATTTTGAACACTCCTTGCTTTAGCTGTCACTAAGGTCTCCCTCCAAATCCCATCCAAAGTACACCAAAATCACCTCCCTTCTCCATTGTTCAGTGTCTCGAATTTTCCTTCCTGTGATCTCTTCCTGAATTCCTAAGTTGTGTTTTCCATGCTGTACACGGAGAAAGAGACTTCCCTGTCACAGCACAGAACTTGACAAAGGGAAGTGCTTTTCTTAACGGACAATGTATGTGTGTGTGTGTACATAAGAAGAGAGAATTGAATATAAGAAGAGTGTTGCTGGATTAGGCCAGTGTCCCATCTAGTTCAGGGACACGGCTGGCACTATGGTCTAAACCACTGAGCCTCTTGAGCTTGCTGATCGGAAGGTTGGCGGTTCGAATCCCGGTGACAGAGTGAGCTCCCATTGCTCTGTCCCAGCTGCTGCCAACCTAGCAGTTCAAAAGCACACCAGTGCAAGTAGATAAATAGGTACCACTGCGGCAGGAAGGTAAGCAGCATTTCCGTGCGCTCTGGCTTCCATTACGGTGTTCCATTGTGCCATTGTGTTCATATCTTTTCTCTCTCTGTCCAGGTTTTTAGCACCTATTCCAACGAGGAATATGACCGGCGGAATGAAGATGTCGATCCCATGGCTGCCTCGGCAGAGTATGAACTCGAGAAGCGGGTGGAGAGGCTAGACCTCTTTCCCGTGGAACTAGATAAAGGTAATGGAGAAATCTGGTACAGATGTGAGGTAAAAATGGTTTTTCTGGAGTAGAGAAGGTGGGAGCCTATTTGTTGATTCAGCCAGCTGGGGAATGTGTTGGAAAGTAAGGTGTTTCTTTACATTCACACACACATCACCCAGGAAGGTCTTTGTCAGAGATTTTCAGCTGAGGAATGGCCTGGCCACTGAATTGCAATGCATCCAATAGTTCATTTCTTTCCATTTGGGCCTGAATAGCGACAATGGTTTCCTAGCCCCACTGCAAGTGCTAATGTTCAGATGATTTTGTTGTCACCCGCCGCTGCCGCTGTGAAGTGTCACGGCCATGTTCATTCCACATACATTTAAGCTCTGATTTACTCAGGGATGCTGAGATTACTGTGTTATCGCCAGCTACTGCTGCTGAGAAGGGTAATTTTGCATACATTTACATTCTAATTAAATTGTCCCAGACGGTATTTTGCATTCCGTTGTCATTAACATCAGCCTTTACATTCCCTCCCCTTCTTTATTTATTTATTTGTTTGTCTAAGGATTTACAAACTGTCTCCCCCAAAAAGTGATTTCGAAGCAGTGTGTGTGTGACGGAAATATTTAAAAAGCAACAAAATAGGTAGCAAAAATGTGCATAACCATCTGAAAAGCAGATCTTAAAAACCCAGGTGTTGTGTGGTATACAATGTAAAATGGCTGAGTCACTCTTCAGGGAAAGCCATTGTTTAAAAAGAAGAAGAAGAAGAGTTTGGACTTGATATCCCGCCTTTCACTCCCCTTAAGGAGTCTCAAAGCGGCTAACAATCTCCTTTCCCGTCCTCCCCCACAACAAACACTCTATGAGGTGAGTGGGCCTGAGAGACTTCAGAGAAGTGTGACTGGCCCAAGGTCACCCAGCAGCTGCATGTGGAGGAGTGGAGACGCGAACCCGGTTCCCCAGATTACGAATCTACTGCTCTTAACAACTACACCACGCACCACGCTGGAGAGAGAGAGAGAGAGAACTTATTTGATAGCTGCCTAAGAGTAAAAATGAAAGGAGATCAAGAGCTGATTCCACAGAGCTGGAGCCGCAAAACTAAAATCCTAGTATCTAGTTGATGTCAAGCATATCTAAGCGTATGGGACTCTAAACCATGTCCCATCGGAGGAACACAATTGGCTCCAAGTTGTATAGCTCTCAGAATGCTAAAAGAAAAACCTTGAACCGAGCCCAGTGGCATAAAGGGCAGCCTAGTGGCAGCTTGTGAACTACAGTGGTACCTTGGTTCTTAAACTTAATCCGTTCCGGAAGTCTGTTCCAAAACCAAAGCATTCCAAAACCAAGGAGCGCTTTCCCATAGAAAGCAATGCAGAATGGATTAATCTGTTCCAGACTTTTAAAAACAACCCCTAGAACAGCAATATAACATGAATTTTGCTATCTAACGAGACCATGGATCCATAAAATGAAAGCAATAAGCAATGTACTACAGTCACACAGTCAATCAATCAGTAGCTGAACTGGGTTCCACACAAAACAAAAAGAGAGCAACAAAAATGCAAAATAAATAGCAAAAACAGACAGACCTCAGCGTCACACTCAAAATGGAAATGTGGCACTCAAAATGGAAGCATAACACTCAAAACAGAGCACGTTCAGCATCCAAAAAAGTTTGCAAACCGGAACACTTACTTCTGGGTTTGCAGTGTTTGGGTTCCGAGTTGTTTGAGAACCAAGGCATTTGAGAACTAAGGTACCACTGCAATGGAGTTGTGAAGTTATCTGTTCTTGAGGTAACTAACACCTTGACCATATTGGCCAAACTGTTCCTCTGCAGGAATGACCACAGCTGTGTTAGCAGCAAAGCTTTACCACTTGTATGGGGGTGTGTGTGTGTGCATGTATGTGTTTGTGTTTGTTCATAAAACCTGGCTACCTGTTACACCCACCTTGTCCTATCCTTTTGGGGTTTTTTTCTTACCTTAACAGCTAATTTTTCATAGAAACTGGGATGTGGTTGAAGCAAGGAAAGTAAACAACTCGGGAAATAAACAACAAATAAGGGAAAGGCCTTTAATGCAATGTTTCCTCCACCCTACCACCAAGAATGTTAATCCTTAGGACCTGAAGCACTGATACATCAACCATCCCTAATTTGCATGTCCTGGTTTTCTTGGTGTGGTGTAGTGGTTAAGAGTGGTAGACTCATAATCTGGTGAACTGGGTTCGCTTCCCTGCTCCTCCACATGCAGCTGCTGGGTGACCTTGGGCCAGTCACACTTCTCTGAAGTCTCTCAGCCTCACTAACCTCACAGAGTGTTTGTTGTGGAGGAGAAAGGGAAAGGAGAATGTTAGCCGCTTTGAGACTCTTTCGGGTAGTGAAAAAGCGGGATATCAAATCCAAACTCCTCCCCCTCCTCCTCCTCCTCCTCCTTCTTGCCTGTGGTCCGGTCCGTGTTCAGGGTGCACCGCAAGGCAAGCAGAGAAGTTTCCACCCGTTTTCCCTGCTATTAGTTTACATCTACAATGTGGAAAGCATTGTGATTGTCTGACTTAGTAGTTCAAAGGAGTTTTTTGTTGACTTATCCTTGTGCTTATCTGTTGTATTTGTTGCAGTATGCTGTCCAGGGCTGTAACTTGCCCTGTGACCTAATTCTGGTGACTCCCCTGGAACCTCGTGTTCTTAAGAAAATCACCTTTTGCTTTCCCTCATGCAGATTCTGAGGGGCTCGGAATCAGCATCATCGGGATGGGAGCCGGTGCTGATATGGGCCTAGAAAAACTTGGCATCTTTGTCAAGACGGTGACAGAAGGAGGAGCAGCTCACCGAGATGGCAGGTCAGTCTGGTTGGCATTGAACCCACTGCCAACGCCCTAACTTTGACTCACAGAAGGGGGTACTGGGAGCAGGGGAAAGAAAAACCCTGCCAGCTGTGATGTGACGTGTTTCTCTGCGCTTATCAAGCTACCATAAGCAAGCATTCCATGCCCCTGGGTTAGCACTTCCCAAACTTGGGTCTCCAGCTGTTGCTGGACTACAACTCCCATCATTCCTAGCTAGCAGGACCAGTGGGATGGGAATTGTAGTCAGGGCTGGATTTAGGTTTGATGAGGCCCTAAGCTACTGAAGGTAATGGTGCCCTTTATATGTCCAGCTGTCCTTTGTCAACAACAAATTGTCACTCTTTTTTGTGTTGAATATACCGTATTTTTCGCTCTATAAGAAACACCTAGTTTTTAGAGGAGGAAAACAAGAAAAAAAATATTCTGAACAAAACAGTGGATGCATGATTTTTGTGGGTCATGCTGTGGCCACAGACATGATATGTGATTTGACAGTGAGTTTGGGGTAGCCCAATGCAAAAATCCTGAGGATCCATGTGGATCTGTGTTTTGTAACCATGTTTTTGTGCCATTGCGGCCCCACAGTGGATGTGTGGCTTTTTGGGTGTATGCTGTAGCCATGGACATGCTATGTGACCTGATGGTGAATTTGGGGTGACCCAGTGCAAAAATCCTGAGGATCCATGGGCTTTTACCTCCCCACTCACTCCCAGGCAGCCTCCTTTATCGCTAGCATCCCTTATCTCCCTCCCAATCGCTTGCCAGTCAGCTGCTCAGCGGCTTTGTTTCGACACCCCCTTCCCTCTTTAAAAAAAAAAAGTGCACAATCTGCTTTTTGCCCCAGGCAATTCGGCTCCAGGGACCACGCATTCGCTCCATAAGACGCACAGACATTTCCCCTTACTTTTTAGGAGGAAGAAAGTGCGTCTTGTGGAGCGAAAAATACGGTATGCTATATGGTAATTTATGGACCTAATAGGTATCTAAAGCCATTTGCACATAACAAAATCTGTATTTTATCAAAGTAATTGTTGAACTGAAATACAATTAAGAAGTATATTAATAGTGAAATACAATTCTTTTCCTTTCGGTTTTTTTGGGGCCCGCAAGAAAGTGGGGCCCTAAGCTATAGCTTGTTTCGCTTATATGTAAATCCAGCACTGATTGTAGTCCCAAAACAGCTGGAGACCCAAGTTTGGGAAACCCAGCTCTGGGTGACGGGATACTTGCAAGCAATCATACGTACCCCGCCTTTACCCCAGACAGGGACTCAAGGCGGCTGACAGGTAAGAACAACTAAAAACAGAGAAAACAAAGATATTGGGAAAGAAATGGAGAACACAGGTGGATGATGAGTGCTTATCTGTTTTTGGAAGTGAAACACGGGAGGAGAGGGAGCATTCAGATTACAGTGGTACCTCGGGTTAAGTACTTAATTCGTTCCGGAGGTCCGTACTTAACCTGAAACCCTCCTTAACCTGAAGCACCACTTTAGCTAATGGGGCCTCCTGCTGCTGCCGCGCCGCTTGAGCACGATTTCTGTTCTCATCCTGAAGCAAAGTTCTTAACCTGAAGCACTATTTCTGGGTTAGCGGAGTCTGTAACCTGAAGCGTATGTAACCTGAAGTGTATGTAGCCTGAGGTACCACTGTATATTCAATGTTCAAACATGTTATACTCACTGCACGAGAGCAGACAATTCTGCTGAAAATACAGTGGTGCCCCGCAAGACGAATGCCTCGCAAGACGGAAAACCCGCTAGACGAAAGGGTTTTCCGTTTTTGAGTTGCTTCGCAGGACGAATTTCCCTATGGGCTTGCTTCGCAAGACGAAAATGTCTTGCGAGTCTTGAGATTTTTTTTTCGCTTTCCCCCCCCCCCCTTTATCTAATCCACTAAGCCTTTAATAGCCTTTAATAGCCTTTTAGCAGCTAATCCGCTAAGCCTTTAAGCCTTTAATAGCCGCTAAACCGCTAATAGCGCTAATCCGTTAAGCCGCTAATAGGGTTGCTTCGCAAGACGAAAAAACCGCTAGACGAAGACTCTCGCGGAACGGATTAATTTCATCTTGCGAGGCACCACTGTAATGAAGTACTTTCCCCCTTCCTCTTCAACAGGCAGGGGAAACTGCAGGGGATAAACGTCACGCATACACAGAGTAAAAAAGGAGTTTCTTGCTGCCTTTCTCCATCTGTTCTTTATCCCTCTGCTCAGAAAATTCCTAACTTTCCCTAGGAACTGGGAACAGACGCAGCAGGGACAACAATCTGCTAAGGAGAGATAAAGAACAGAGAGGAAAGGCCTCCAGAGGCCACACACACATTGTACATACGAAGCACCTTTAAAGCACATTGTCGTCGTCCCCCAAGAATCCTGGGAACTGTAGTTTGGCCCTTCGCCGAACTACAATTCCCAGCTCTCCCATTCCTAGGATTCTTTGGGGAAAGCAGCATGCTTTAAATGTACAGTGTTTTGATATGACATGAGTCTCTTCCTTCACCATCTTGTGTGTGTGTGTGTGTGTGTATATATGCCTGTGGTTTTTCTGTTCCCTCCAACTTTCTTGGCTTGTTCATGGGAGAGCAAACAGAATTCTCAGCAGGCAAAAAACTTTCGCATGGCGGGGATGCTCTCATGCAGCGAGTGTCAGTTTGCGGCCAGGCTCTCAGAGTCTTTCTGCGTGATCCTAAGGACCGAGTTGAAGGGCAGTTTACTGAGTTACTGACTTGATTCCCTTATAAATGTGTTGAGGGCTGCATGTTTGTTTCAATAAGAAATAAATAAAGAGATGGAATGTTTTTGTGGAAGGCAGGGTTATTTAACCAACTGCTTTCCTGGTTTCATAATATACCCGAACATATCATAAAACAATGATATGGCGAAGCAACAATTCTCGTACTGTTCTGCAATGAAGAGCCAACCTTTTTCCCCCCAGCAAATTTTTAAGATGGCAGAAAGCATGCTCTGTTGCAGCAGCACCTTATCCATTGTTGACAGTTTTCTGGAAGGTTAACCCTTCACCTGCCAATTGTTTTTCTCTTAAACTGCACCCCTGCCTCCATTTTTAATTTCCCCCCTCCAAAAGTGCTTTGGAAAGAAGAATGGATTTGGGTGGCTTTGTTATACGTGACCACAACGTAGCAGAGATTCTTGATCTCAATACGGTAGGTCACAATTAGGGGAACTTATTGAAATAACAGTTGGAACATGTCCTATGATTTATAATTTTGTTTCCCCTGAAAACATTTTCATATTAGAGGAAGTCAAACTGTACACACCTTACTGTGCTATTTTTAATTGCTGGGCTTACACCTGCCATTGCAGGATTCACTCTCTGCCCAAAATAGTTTGAGGTGAAATCACAGCTGGAAGATCTGTAGTATGAAGAGAGCAATTAAAACCTTGAAGACTATGGCCTTGTACAAGGAATAAAAAATTCCACGGGTTGACAGCAATGAGATAATGAGTTGTGGCATTTGTGATGTGTTTTGTGTTTGAGTAATCACAAGGTGTGGGATTTGCTATTATAGAAAGGTAATTACATGGATATTTATTTATTTTCATTTTATACATTCATTTCACACAATTTATGCACTGCTTGATTGTAAAGAACCTCAAAGCGGTTAACAATAAAATCAAGAAAAAAATCACGACTGTACTTTTAAAACATACAAAAGTTAAAATATTAAAACAGATTAAAATCACCTCAGCTGTGAAATAAACAAGGAGCGTTGTAAATTATTGCTGCCTTTCTAGATCAGCCCAACACTTCCAAAGGGAGCCTGTCAGATGCTCCAGGTCTCTGTCAAACAATGTCATCCAGTTTCCACTGTTTATACCAATCAGCTGTTAATCAGAGGCATAACACCATTACTGAAATCAAGGGGTCCATTTTCCTGTCATATCTGTTGATTTCGCCACTGGAACGCGTCTAGTCGTTAGTCATTGCGCACCTTGTAGCAGAGAGGTCCGCAGGCTTAGCTGTGTGAAGAACTTCTTCCTGTTCTGAACTCGGGACCCACTGCCAAGGGATGGGATTGGGTGACCCTGAGTTCTAGAACTGCACAAGAATCATTTTGGAAACTTCCTTCATGCCTTTCGCCCTCCCCTTCCCCCCCAACTTGGCTTGTTTTCATAGATAAGCTAAAAAAAAATACCCTCAGGGATCACGAGAACGAGGAATTGTGATGAAGGGGCAAAGGGCAATCAGAGGTGCAAAAGGGGCAGAGATGAGCAGCGCCTTCTATCAGTGGCATACTGCATTTCTGTGCAAGGCTCAGAGGAAGGACTTCTCTCCTCTGACAGCCTGATAGGGACAGGGCCATAGCTGTCAACCATCCCTTATTTGGCGGGAAACTCCCTTATCCCAGAGCCGGGTCCCGCTGCTGTCCCGGATTGATGATGTCCCTTAAATTTCCCGGGTTTCATGCTCGCCCGGCTCGGGAGGCAAGCAGCGGCTCGGGGTCCTCCGCTGCGAGAGAGAGAACGTGCACGAGCGGCCGCATCTCCGTCTCTCCCTTTTCCCCCTCAGGGGCGCATCGTGAAGAGACGGGTGGTGGCGGGCGGGCAGGCAGCCCCTCTCTTGCGAGACTTCCGCCACACTGCCAGGCGAAGCCGGAGGCGGCTGAGGAGGTGGCCTGAGGGAGGAGGAAGAGGAGGGGATGGGGAGGGACGCAGAAGGGCGACGCTTCAGCGGCCACCGCGGCACCGCAACCGCCTCATGCCGGGCTCACGGGTGAGAGTCTCTCTTCCTCCCTCCCTCTCTCTCGGGCGGTGAAGGGCCAATGGAATAATAATAATAATAATAATAATAATAATAATAATAATTTATTATTTGTACGATGGAACTCCTCATGCCAGGACGACGGCAGCCCCGACAAGCACAAGCTAAGCAAAATCCCTTATTTTGGCTGCCAATCCCTTATGTTCAAGGCTGCTGGTCCCTTATTTTCAAATCTGTAAGCTGACAGCTATGGACAGGGCACTTCATCTATTCTCCTCCACCAGCCTCCTCACTTGCCTGCATGTGATTTCTTGTCACCTGCGGCTATTGGCTTAAACACAAGGCTGAATAAGCAGAATTCAAAACAAAGCAGACCCTGTCAGGTCCCAGTACAGTCAAAAAGCAGATGGAGCACTCTGGCGTGTCTTTCTGCGGTGCTACAGTATATGATAAATAAATGATTCCCTCCTCCTGCAAAACGTTTCAATCGTTTGCTCTCAGATTCTTTTAAGCGGTAGTTAGGCCTTTCCATTGGCGAATCGATCCTCTGGATCTCTCTCAATTCTATCCTGCTGTTGCACCCGTGTCCTGGCTTGCAGGCTTCTCCACGGACATCTGGTTGGCCACTCTGAGAACAGGATGCTGGACTTTGGTTTGGCCCAGCGGGGCTCTTCTTCTTGTGTCCTTGGCCCGGCAGGTGCAATCAGCGTGGGGAACTCGAACTCGCAGCCGAGCCGGCAGGCTTGAAATACCATCCGCACCGGCAGCGATTTCAGACCTGCTTCCTGCAGGGATTCGCTGCACGATCAAGTTTGCAATGGAGAACTTGGTTGCGCAGTCAATCCTGACATTACATATGACACATCTAGATCTCAGGGTCATGAGTTCGAGCCCCATGTTGGGCAAAAGATTCCTGCATTGAAAGGGGTTGGACTAGATGACCGTTGTGGTCCCAGCTCTGCAGTGCTATGTTTACAGTGGTACCTCAGGTTACAGACGCTTCAGGTTACAGACGCTTCAGGTTACAGACTCCACTAACCCAGAAATAGTACCTCGGGTTAAGAACTTTGCTTCAGGATGAGGACAGAAATCGTGCAGCGGCAGCAGGAGGCCCCATTAGCTAAAGTGGTACTTCAGGTTAAGAACGGTTTCAGGTTAATAACGGACCCCCAGAACGAATTAAGTTCTTAACCCGAGGTACCACTGTATATGGGTCAGGCGGGCATGGTTTGGGGGAAACAGCTTCGCGGGCCAAATTTGGGCTGGACGTTCTCCAATCCTGCTATATGCTGTTAACCTAATTGGAATGGGCTTTTAGGGGCTAAGGTCAAAATGCTTCAGGGCTGGCATGCTTTTCATTGATTGCTCGCTCCAAGTATTTAAGCAGTATTTTAGCGTTTTTAACGTGCCGTTCCCCATCATGAAGTTTTGGGAAGGGGCAGAAGCTGAAATAAATATATACGACACAGAATGTTACAATAATAGATCCTTAACCAGCCCTTACCCATCCCAGGCCACCAATTTAAATCAAGAAGCAACCACTGTCTCTTTGCTGGAACTGAACGCCTTAATGCTCCCTGTGTGTTTCCTCACAGAATTGAAATGTGGGGGGGGGGGGGGAGATGAAGGGGTGGCGGTGGGGGAGAGGAGAAGCAACTCTGGTGGGAAATGCCAGCAGGGCTGCTGCTCGCTGTCATAGCAACAAACATGGCTGCCTGCCCAGTTCCAGGGGCACCAGTGAAATATAAACAGGGGGTATTCATGGGAGAACGCTTGGTAAGATTACAGAAACCGCTCACCAAGTTGCATCTGGCAAAGGATCTTTCGCATGCTCGAGATGTTCTTGTTTTTGCTTTTTTTTTACCTCTGGTCAAACAATGTGTGGACACCACCTAATCTCTTTTAAAACTGACCTGCCTGGGTTTTCTTTTCCACCTGCTCATCTGCTTTTTCTTTTTGCTTCTCTGTTTAATCTTGGAAAAAGTAGTGTTTCTGTTTTCCCGTGGAAAGGCCTATGCCTCTAACAAGAGTGGCCCGGTGGTGGCAATTCTGCCTTCGCATTGTGAACTGTAGTGGCATGAATGCAAAGAGCGATAGAAATGTCCTTATCAGTGCCTTAAAGTCACAGAGAGAGAGAGCTGTGTATGGGGATTGGGGTGTGGGTGTGTGTTATAGTGAAAAAAAATGTTCGTTTTGAACAGAGGAGAGCAAATATTACCTTGGGCAAGTCATGTCGCTATGTTGCATTCTAACTTACTGGCAACTAAGTAAGAGAGTATGAAGTCCTTCATATACGGGAAAGTGTTAAAGAACTGACTGATAAAAAAACAGCCCCAGTATTGCAGATTGATTAAAAAAAACCCCATGTCTTCCATTTTCTCCACAAATGAGAACATGGCCAACTTCCATGATGCTCGCTGGGTTTTAAAAATACAGTGGTACCTTGGTTTTCGAACCATCTCCATTGAGAAACTTTTCGGTTTTCGAATGCCGAAAACACAAAAGTAAATGCTTCCGTTTTCGAACGCACCTTCTGCTGCATGTTTTTCAGTTTTCTCAATTGAATTTGCAGACAGCCAACTTTGTGCCTCGGTTTTTGAATGTTTCGGAACTCGGAATGGTCTTCCAGAACGGATTACAGTGGTACCTCGGGTTACAGACACTTCAGGTTACAGACTCCACTAACCCAGAAATAGTACCTCAGGTTAAGAACTTTGCTTCAGGATGAGAACAGAAATTGTGCTCCGGCGGCGTGGCAGCAGCAGGAGGCCCCATTAGCTAAAGTGGTACCTCAGGTTAAGAACAGTTTCAGGTTAAGAACGGACCTCCAGAACAAATTAAGTTCGTAACCAGAGGTACCACTGTACGTTTGAAAACCTAGGTGCCGCTGTATATGCAAGTTTGGCACAGATGTGCTTTCCGATAGTTAAAGAATGCCTAAGGCCTTTCCTTTGGCTTTGCACACTTATATATTGCAACTGAATGGTCAGTCCCCTTCTAACTTTCTCCATCCTTTTTCTCCCTCAGGATCCAGGTAAACGACCTTATCGTCGAGGTGGATGGCACCAGTCTGGTGGGTGTGACCCAAAGCTTTGCTGCCTCCGTGCTGAGGAATACCAAGGGTAGAGTCCGGTAGGGGAACGGTGTGCACCCCAGTTTTGTGATGGGACCAGAATTTGTTTTGTTTGTCTGTCTGGGGAAAAAACCAAAACCAGATATAGAGAAGAGCGGAAGTATTGCCTCAGAGAGAGCTCTCTGATGCATCATGGGAAAATGTTCTCGGAGCAGTCATTTTGTTTGCCGTGAAATGGTTGTGGGTGTAAGATGGCAGCTGGAAGGTTTTCCTAGCAGCCGTGGTACTGCTGCTTCTGCTTATTTATGTAGAGTTGGGCAGATATAGAACTGTGTTGCCTTGGTGAGTTCATTACATCAAGGGGCTACCTTCTTAATGGTCCTCTGCAGATATTTCTTGCTCCCAATTGAAGTTAGAATGCTCTGTGTGTGAAGCAACACCAACGGAAATGCATAGGAATGGATTTAAAAACCATATAAAGCAGGCAGGGTTAGAAGCTCCCTTTCATTGCAGTGCTTTCAGCTAATTATGCCAAAGCGTATAAAAGAACCTAGGCGATGATGACATTTTTTCCCCCCTGGCAGAGTTCACATCTTTTCTTTTTCTTCTTTCCTCTGGAGGGGCTACCGAGTTTCTAAATGCCTTCTGCCAGACACAAGGGCAACAGATGGAGGCTTTTCCTGTTAAATTGCTACCTGTCACTTGGTTGCTGTTGTTCTCGTTGTTGTTTTCAAGGCGCTAAAATGTAGCTTGAAGGCTCCCTTTTTGTTGTGGCGTTTTGAAAGCAGAGAACAAGCTGCACAGGGTTAAAAACAGAGGAAGAGGCAGGGGCAGCTGTGTCTGTTAAGTTTGGGATACACAGAAGTTCAACTGGTTTGGCTTTTCCCCATCGTGGCTATATGGTGGGAGACAGCCAGCACCTTTGGAATTTCTGCTTATTATGCTGTCTTTTAAAGGTATATTTCTTTTAAATGAATATTTCAAAGCATATTCTCAGCGGGTACTTGTACCTATATGTAAAAGCCTACTTCAATTCTGACAGGGGGCAGGTTTCAAATCTGCATCTCAGCCTCTTAAAGTCCTGGTTCAACACTCCTCATTTCATTTCCTGGTCAAGTGGACTCTCCTCACTTTTGCTGTTCCTTCCAGGTCTGAGTGCCTAATTCGTATCTCCTTTTTCCTGCCTCTCTGGCAAATCTCCCTCAACCTCAACAGAAAGTTAAATGTTGCCTGACGTTCTGCCAATTTGATAGCATTACTTGAAGAGCCAGAGGGGAACCAAGGCTCTGAAACACTTATTCTTTATAAACTCTTGTATGTTAAGAGGACACGTACTGGCTAAATTCACACATCACAGTGAGTAAGGATTTCAGACCCGCCATGTGTCCCTATTTTCCAGGGACAGTCTCAGATCTACAGAAGCCACCACAGTTTCTGATCTAATCCCAGAATGTCCCGCTTTTCCTTAGGACGTCCCTATTTTCATCAGAGAAATGTTGAAGGAGACATCTCTATTTTCATCAGAGAAATGTTGGAGGGTATGGAATAGGAAGTGCCTATTTTCACTGGGAAAATGTTGGAGGGTGTGGGATTTCTGACTTCACTGAAAAAGCACGCTGGCCATTGGCTTCAAATTCACTTCTCCCTTCATGCAAACAGGGTTAGTGCGAACCCACAATCCTAGTTTGTTACCCGCCCCCCCCAACAAGCCAATATTGTGAAACAGGGTTTTAAAATTAGCCTGCAAAGTCTGGCTGGTTTGGGACCAACAGATAGGGACCCTGCATTCATACATCACGCAAAGCTGGCCCCTTTGGGTTCATCGCATGAACTAACATGCTGCTCTTTTGCAGTAAACCACGACATGCAAACCCATGATATGAAAATGGCAGGTTTTTTTACTTCTCTACTGCCCCTCAGAATTGATGCTTTTGAATTATGGTGTTGGAGGAGACTCTTGAGAGTCCCATGGACTGCAAGAAGATCAAACCTATCCATTCTTCAGGAAATCAGCCCGGAGTGCTCACTGGAAGGACATATCGTGAAGCTGAGGCTCCAATACTTTGGCCACCTCATGAGAAGAGAAGACTCCCTGGAAAAGACCCTGATGTTGGGAAAGATTGAGGGCACAAGGAGAAGGGAACGACAGAGGACGAGATGGTTGGACAGTGTTCTCGAAGCTACCAGCATGAGTTTGACCAAACTGTGGGAGGCAGTGGAAGACAGGAGTGCCTGGCGTGCTCTGGTCCATAGGGTCATGAAGAGTCGGACATGACTAAACGACTAAACAACAACAACTGCCCCTCACGCTCACCACCAACTCGGCGTTCCTTTTCACCTTCGAAATCCCCGAATCCTAACCCTGCCATCAAGCGAGGAAAAGGGGAGGGAGAGAAAATAAAGCGAGATTAGCACTGCGTTAGCACAGCAATGAAAGCCACCCACTAAACCTCCTTGCTTGGCCTGTTTTTCATCCCACCCAGTTATTCGTATATCTCTCTTTCCACTGCTCTGGCCCAGCAGTGCCCAGAGAACTGCAACTAGAAGGGCGTCTGCGAACAGGCCTTTGGCATCCTAGGAAATGGGCAGCGGCTGGCAGCATTGCCCAGTCAGCATTTGGTTCCATTTTAAACTGGGGAGCAGTGCCCATTGCTCCCCAGAATGTGCCCCGATGCACCATGGGAAACTGTCCAATGTCATGCCCGTTTTATTATTTCCTACGAAACGAAACAAGGGTTCGGTTCAATGGAAATGTGTATATGTGCGCGTGAGGGAGACCGTAGGGCTGTGGGCTGTTGAATTATCCTGTCAGCTGTGGTTCTTCTGTTTTTGTCCTTTTATCTATACGACTGCCTCTGTGGCCCCCCTTTTTCTCTCTCTTTTAAATCTCACCAGAGGCATTTGGCCTGACTTTTCCTGGCAGCATTAAGAATGAGAGGTTTGGCCCCATCCCAGGATCCTTGCGTCGGTGGTTTTTGAAAGAATGGAAATCAAGCCAGAAAACCTCTCTCACACTCGCTCTGTCACACACACACACACACGGGGGGGGGGGGGCACATATGGGCCCTCCCTGGTTCCTTCAACAAAAAGGGCGGTGCAGTTTTTTGGGAGGGTTACACCTAGAACCTAACCCATTCCTCTGAGTTTTGAGTGCTGATCGGTTCCCAAGCGACGGGAACCTCAACTACGAGAATGTGTTGCTAGGCAACTAGTTTCCTCCATACTCCACAGGCACCATTCTGCCTTCCCAGATAGAAAGGCCCTGTTAACCAGTTAAAGGATTTGGTAATCTGTTTAACTGGTGCTCCGGCCCATATATTTTTTATCACTGCTAAAAAAAACCACATACGCACACCCCTTGACACTGTGCCGCGTGAACTCAGGTTGCACAAACACAAGACCCATGCCTAAATGTCACTTTCGGGAAACAAGAGTTAGCAAACCTTCCAGAAAATAAGACCTTCTATGGATGTTGAATAGAATTTCCTTTCCCCCCCGGGGATGCGAGTTGTGTCAGGAAGTCACTTCCTCTCATCTAGAAGCCCTAGTCCTGATCCCATTTGGGAGCAGGCAACTGGATGTAGTAAGGGACGTGGGTGGCGCTGTGGGTTAAACCACAGAGCCTAGAACTTGCTGATCAGAAGGTTGGCGGTTCAAATCCCCGTGACGGGGTGAGCTCCCGTTGCTCGGTCCCTGCTCCTGCCAACCTAGCAGTTCGAAGGCACGTCAAAGTGCAAGTAGATAAATAGGTACTGCTCTGGCGGGAAGGTAAACGGCATTTCTGTGCGTTGCTCTGGTTCGCCAGAAGCGGCTTAGTCATGCTGGCAACATGACCCGGAAGCTGTACGCCGGCTCCCTCGGCCAATAAAGCGAGATGAGCGCTGCAACCCAACCCCAGAGTCGGTCACGACGACCTAATGGTCAGGGGTCCCTTTACCTTTACCTTTAACTGGATGTAGTAGCTGCCCACTTGGGAAAGAAACTCACGCTGCACATGCTCAGGGGCACTTGTCATTATACTTTCCCCATCGCAACCAGCTTCTGAGCCTTGCCGTTGAGCATTGCTTTCAGACACGGGCTGTGGCAGGCCTCAGGCTAAGACCGGGCTCCTGAAATCTGTATGGCTTTCTGGTTCTGTATCCATGGGACATATACCCACGGCCTCCTTGGTTAGTTGATTGCAACAACTCTCTTTTCCTGCCCCCCGCCTAAGAACAATGGGTAGCAACTTGTCAAATATTGGGGACCCAATAGATACAACAAAAAAGATTTGTTTATATACTGCTCTTAATTTTAAAAAAACCCCAAAGCAGAAGATCTGTCTAGAGCAGCCTTTCTCAACCTGTGGGTACCCAGATGTTGTTGAACTACAACTCCCATCACCCCTAGCTAGCAAGGCCAGAGTTCAGGGATGATGGGAGTTATAGTCCAACAACATCTGGGGACCCACAGGTTGAGAACTGCTGGTCTAGAGCATGGGTAGGCAAACTAAGGCCCGGGGGCCAGATCAGGCCCAATCACCTTCTATATCTGGCCCGCAGACGGACCGGGAATCAGTGTGTTTTATACATGAGTAGAATGTGTCCTTTTATTTAAAATGCATCTCTGGGTTATTTATGGGGCCTGCCTGGTGTTTTTACATGAGTAGAATGTGCGCTTTTATTTAAAATGCATCTCTGGGTTATTTGTGGGGTATAGGAATTTGTTCATTTTTTTATATAGTCTGGCCCACCACATGGTCTGAGGGACGGTGGACCGACCCCCTGCTGAAAAAGTTTGCTGACGCCTCGTCTAGAGGACTGTGGCAGTGGGACTCCCAATTGTTAGTGAATCAGTGGATCTGGTTGGAGGGGTTTTTAACCCTTTGACATGATTTCCTCAACCACAATCCCACACACCCAAAGGTGCCATAAGTACTGCTGTGGGAGAAAGACAGGCACAATACAATATCTATATTCCCCCCTACCCCCCATTGGAACTTAGGTGGTGGGAGAGTTAGATGAGGGGAAACGAGGAACAGTTTAACCTCCCCTCCCTCATCAGCAACACTCTCCCAATCAAAATCAGCGAGCTCTGGCAACTGTTTTTAAGTTTAAAAACGCCAAAATATCTAATCACAGATTCCCCCACAGTGCAGCTATTATAGCATAGCTGTCAACTTTTCCCTTTTCTTGCGAGGAATCCTATTCGGAATAAGGGAATTTCCCTTTAAAAAAGGGAAACATTGTCAGCTATGTATTATAGCCCTCAAAAATGGTGGCGGAGTAGGGCTTCCGCTCAGTGGGATGAGGGGACTTCAGTCCTCGGCGTACTTCCTTGTCCTCCTTGCTTGACCGAAGAAGAATTGATTGTACAAAATAAGCAAATCCGTTCCAATTGTATCACGGCTCAGAAACTGATTGTGCTGGGATCTTTTTGAGCCCAGTGCATATATGTGTATATATATAGCCTGGCCGCATAACTCCTGGTGTGTTGACCCACTTCTTTGAGATCCGTACTCTTATCCCCCTCTCTCCCACCTCTTTCATTTTCCTTAGGTTCCTGATTGGGAGAGAGAAGCCGGGTGAGCAAAGCGAGGTGGCTCAACTCATCCAACAGACGCTGGAGCAGGAACGATGGCAGCGGGAAATGATGGAGCAGAGGTATACCCAGTACACGGAGGAGGACGAAGAAGTAAGTGGGACGGGTTTCTCTCAGCCTGTTGGGGAGAGGAGGAAAAGGACACGGCGCCCCGATTCCCCTCCTCGTTCCTCTTGTCAGCGCTCTGAACATAAAGGCGAGCCAGAGGAAGTTGTGGTTCCCTTGCTGACTCTTTGTGATGGCTACGTTTTTGGCTGAAACCGAGGCCTACTCCGGACAAATTCTTTTCATTGTGCATTCACAGCAATTTATTGTGCTGTTATTGGGGCGGCCCTGCACAGTCCCGCTTTCAATACTGCTCTGTGTCTGGCAAAGGTTTTGGCACAGTCATGAAGCTTCCTTTACGATTGGCGCATTTCCTGTCACTTTTCATACCACAGGTGTTCTGAGGGGGCTTTTTCGTCTGGTCCCGGCTTCTGCCGCTCTGTAGCCTCTTCAAACAGCAGCAATGTGGCTGCACTGGGGGAGCAACTAAAAAAGCAGGGTGGTGCGTGAATGGTCCATCATAAATCTGCCATTAATGCACTATTATTGTGTCAATGACATGTTGCAAAACGAGAAATAAAAAGCCACAAAATGCCAGTCAAGAGGGGCCCTGAATAAAGAAACAGAACAAATCGATAGCATCAAGCCTTGCCTACCTTTTCGCACACAATTGGAGCCCTTCTTAAGTTTCTAGTTCGTCTTTAAAGCTGTCTGCTGTCTCCTCCTTCATCTCCCCTTCCATGCCTCCTCCGTGCCTCTCCCTTCCCATCCCTCTGCCCTGTTGCTCCTTGTGCCCGGAAGAGCAGCCTTCCATCCCTGTCCTATTCTTCCAGCCACTTCCCTCTTTCCCACCCTCTCTCTGTCTCTCCCCCTCCCTAATTTTTTTGTAAGCTGACTACCAAAAGTCCCCTTTGTCCCTTCTTCCACTCATATTCCCAGGCCTCTTGTCATGCTTGCTACCCATGTCCGAACCCAGTCTTTGGAAGAAAAAATAATAATTCAGATTCCTGTGTGCCATCCTTAAATGGGTAAGCATTGGTTTCTTTTAAAGTGGTAGCTGAGAATTACGCTTGTCTCCAGCAGAGGCCAATGTACTAGCTGAATGGGTGCTAGAGGGTTCGCAACCATCTCTGCCAGTTAGGGCTGTCTGAAGCATATGTGGCGCCGGGGTGCAAAGGTCCACCTGATACGCACCTCCAGTTTGCCCAGTCCCAGGTGCACAGGAGGGTTGGCCAACTGCCTCAACATCTCACTGGCTCGGTTGCCCCCAAATTCGCGGTGCAGAGCCGCCCGCAGCAGAAGAGCCTGCCGCGGTGCTCTGACCGATGGGTGGGCTCTTCCCCGGTCTCAACTCTTGGGTCCCGGACTCTTGGCCTGGCGCCCCTGAGAGCCCGGCGCCCGGGTTCCCCGCACCCCTAGCACCTATGGGTAAGACGGCCCTGCTGCCAGTCATCGCAAAATTCTGTACCACATTACAGTTCAGATTGTTTGCTGTAAGGCCTAGGTCAGCATGAGGTTAACTGTCTCGGGGTAAGAAACCAAAGTGCATTCTGCTTTTGACAATACCTGCTAACAGGCAGATCATTGGCTATTAACCATGAGAGCTAAGAATGGAACCTCCATTCCCAACAGCAGGATACCTGCTAGGTACAAACAATATAGAGAATGGCTTTCTCCACTGAACCAGCCTGTTGGAAGTTTCATGGAGGGCCCTGGCTTGCCACAGTTGGAGACAGGGGAACAATCAGCCTGCTTTCTTGTATCAAGACATTGAATACCAAAGGAGTACAATATTTGTGCTGGAGATCATAGAAGGGCCATTGGTGTCTTCTCCTCTGGCTACTCCTAACGTTTTAAGCCTGCTGCGTTTATGTGTATGGTTTCAGACATTCAATGCTGGGAGAGAGGAAGTACAAGCAAGCTCCACTTGCTGTTTTTACATGGTAACATTTGAAAAGAGAGTGGCTTTGGGGAGATGTGCAAGTCCCCTGGTGTGGAATTAGTTTGTACATTTCCTCCACTCATCCCTTTTCGGTATTACTCGAGCCATGTGAAAACTGAAAGCATGACTCACTTTTACATCTCTTTCTCTTTGTTAAGTTTCCAGATGCGTAGCTGGGTAAAGTCTGTTTTGCAGCAATAACAGCAAAGAGTATTGGTGGTGCCTTAAAGACTCAACTATTGTATTATGGCACAAGTTTTCATAGACTGTACAGTCATACCTCGGGTTGAATATGCTTCATGTTGAGCGTGTTCGAGTTGCGCTCCGCGGCAACCTGGAAGTAACGGAGCGCGTTACTTCCGGGTTTCGCCGCTCGCGCATGCATAGACGCTCAAAATGACGTCAAACGCATGCGCAGAAGTGGCAAAAAGCGACACGCACGTGCACAGACGTGCCATCACTAGTTATGTTTGCTTGTGGATGCGAACCGGGCTCCGGAACGGATCCCGTTCATATCCAGAAGTACCACTGTAGTCCAGTCAAAGAAGAATACAGTGGTACCTCAGGTTAAGTACTTAACTTGTTCCGGAGGTCCGTTCTTAACCTGAAACTGTTCTTAACCTGAAGCACCACTTTAGCTAATGGGGCCTCCTGCTGCTGCCGCACCGCCAGAGCCCGATTTCTGTTCTTATCCTGAAGCAAAGTTCTTAACCTGAAGCACTATTTCTGGGTTAGTGGAGTGTGTAACCTGAAGCGTATGTAACCTGAAGCGTATGTAACCCGAGGTACCACTGTAATCACAAATCTGGCATCAGAAGTGGCAAGGCTTGACGGCATTGCTGATGTGGGATTTATGACCAACAACAAAGCGAATACAAAAGCTTATGCCATAATGAGTACCTTGGTTTTTAAGGTTCCACAAGACCTTTTGTTGTTTCCCCCTCTTCCTGGGTCTCAGGGCGCTATCTGAACATACACTTGGTTCTGTCCAGTATTGATGTTACCGTAACTTTAAAAGCCAAACCATAAAGCTTGCCTGTTTTGCAATTTGCAGACGGGTGAATACGCCACAGACGAAGATGAAGAGATGAGTCCCATGTTCCCCAGCAGCGAGATGGCCATTGAGGTCTTTGAGCTGGCTGAAAATGAAGACATGCTGTCTCCAGTTGAGATGGACCCTGAAAAGCTTGTGCATAAATTTAAGGAGGTAAGGAAAGGCCTAAAAAGCAAGGATAAGGAACCCGTAAGCTTTTCAATGTTGTTGGGCTCCAGGCTCCCATCAGTCTCAGCCAGCAGGACTGTGATGATGGGGAGTGAAGTCCAACAAACTCTAGAAGGCCACATATTCCTCACTTGGGGACCTAAAAGGGATACAGTGGCTTCCGTGGCTGATGGAAGTGTCACATGACTAATGAAAACATCCGTGGAACCTTTCCTTGTTTCTAAGCACACCACAGAAATGACCCCAGCTACCTGCAGCTTAAGGGACGCTGGTGGCGCTGTGGATTAAACCACAGAGCCTAGGACTTGCCGATCAGAAGGTCGGCGGTTCGAATCCCCATGATGGGTGAGCTCCCGTTGTTCAGTCCCTGCTCCTGCCAACCTAGCAGTTCGAAAGCACGTCAAAGTGCAAGTAGATAAATAGGTACCGCTCCGGCGGGAAGGTAAATGGCGTTTCCGTGCACTGCTGTGGTTCACCAGAAGTGGCTTAGTCATGCTGGCCACATGACCCGGAAGCTGTACGCCGGCTCCCTCGGCCAATAAAGCAAGATGAGCGCCGCAACCCCAGAGTCAGCCACGACTGGACCTAATGGTCAGGGTTCCCTTTACCTTTACCTTTACCTGCAGCTTAGGGAACTGAAAACCTTTGTTCTTTGACTCAAACAAACAGGGAACGGTGCTGTTTGCTGAGTTGCGGAGGTGGCTGCAGAAGCACCTGAGCACATGGGTTGTGCATATGCGCACTTCACTTCTCAGAAGGGAGTGGTGGTGTTGGGGAAAGGCAGTTGAATCTGCTAATATATTTTAAACGCATGCAAATTTAACATTGCCAGCAGCTGCATTGCCTAGTCTGGGTTTAAAAATAAACATTCTCCAGAAGCAAGAGAGGTGGGAGACAAGAAAAGTCAGACTTTGTAATGGATGAGGCACAATTGGCAAAAACCAGGTAAGACAGTGGCAGGCCATAACTGCCAGCTGATCCCACTTCCTAGCTCAGGTTAGAGAAGCAAGAAGATCCAGGAAGCAGATATGAAGAGTAGAGTGCAGTCTTTAACTGGTTAACTGGCTAGATTAAACAATTTTAAAAACTTTAACTGACTAAAAAAATGCAGTTTGCTTTTGTGATCACATAGCAGTCACAGTGGCTTGAGAGATAGGAGATAGTCGCATAAATTCAATTTATTTTCATAGGAAGTGGGAGCAAACAGCACTGGAGATTTTTGTGATGGGGGCAAAGAGATTTGGCAAAAGATACTAACCTTTCGAGTGGGTGGGATTTTCTCCATGGGAATGGTCTAATCTGGGAGCAAGGTTGTTCCATGACATGGCCATAGTATCTTCCCAGTCTTGGTAAACATATCTCTCTTTTATGGTGTGTTTTTTTAAGGATGCACCTGCAAATGACACACACCTCACGCATGTAAAGCGCATGACTTCTCCACAAAGAATCCTGGGAACCACAGTTTGTTAAGGGTGCTGGGAATTGTAGCACCACGAGGGAGTAAACTACAGTTCCCCAGATCTTTGGGAGAAGTCGTGCTTGGAATGTGTGCCATCTATGTCTGAAGGAGGAACACCATTGGGCTTCTACTTATGGCAGTTCTGGCACCCCTTGAACCATAGAAATGTCGCGTTGAAACACAAGGAAAGAAGAGAATGGCTTGTGTCGATCTGCCCAGCCCAGCAAGGGGGAATCAGTTAAACCTTCAGGCGGTGAGGTGGGAAGGAAACAAGGCCGGTGAGCGTGGAGAGGAAGGAAGTGGCGACAGCCAAACTGCCACGAGGCTCCTTGTGTTTTATGTGCGGTTTGCGAGAAATCGGTGCCTCTGTGCTTTTCATATCCCTGGCCCACAGCTGCACGGCTGACCCCTAGCGGCCGACGCAGCCCTCTGTTCTTGTCTCTAAGTATAGAGCATAACGCTTGATGGGAGCTGCTCCCCTCCGCTTTTAGCTCAGCTGCGCAGAAACCGCGATGCCACACAGATACTGCATGTGTGATACAAGTCTCCTAAAACGGCAGCCCCCTCCACATCCTTGCCAGGGGGAGGAATCGCTTTCAGGCACCTCGCTGGGGGCTGCTTTGTGCGTAGCTGTTGTGGAAGCTAGCAAACGTTATGCTTCATACGTCTGCTTCTTTGTTTTCCAATTTTTTTTATTGATTTTCACAGAAATTTAAACACACAAACAAATAAACAAACACACATAAATCATAACTTTAGTAAAACTAATCCAATTAACATTGTTAAGTGACTTCCTCGTATCCCCCTAGTTGGATTTCAGTGTACAGTGGTACCTCAGGTTACATACGCTTCAGGTTACAGACTCCGCTAACCCAGAAATAGTGCTTCAGGTTAAGAACTTTGCTTCAGGATGAGAACAGAAATTGTGCTCTGGCGGCGCGGCAGCAGCAGGGAGCCCCATTAGCTAAAGTGGTGCTTCAGGTTAAGAACAGTTTCAGGTTAAGTACAGACCTCTAGAACGAATTAAGTACTTAACCCGAGGTACCACTGTATATCATTTTAACGGTTTTCCAAATCAATATTCTTATAAAATTAACCTGGTCACTTAACATCTTTCTTTCTTCCCAATTCGGTATTAAACATATTAGTTCATCACATTACATATTTGAATCCTAAGCCTATCCGGTATTTGCAAGCTTTTCCCAATTAATTTAACTTAGCGTATTTAACTAAATAGTCATTAAATTTCATCCATTCTTCCTGGTACTCCTCCTCCTTCTGGTCAGGGACTCTTCCGGTCAGGTCGGCTAGCTCCGAAAAATCCATCATCTTCATCTGCCATTCTTCCAGTGTTGGTACTTCCTGCGTTTTCCGTACGTCTGCTTCTGCCCAGCGGCATCTGAGGAGGTTACCCCTTTCCTCCCTCAACCCACCCCCCATAAATATATGTGACCAAGTGTAATGAACAGCCACAGGCAGCTCTAACTCTCCCTTGCCGTCTTCTGCAGTGTGTAAGTGGCAATTAAAGACAAGAGAAAGGCAGCCTGGGAGGCGCTAAATTTTAATGTCTCTGCTTCTTCTGTAATGTGGGTAGTGGCCTCTAGTTGACCCTGGAATGTGTGTCAGCAAGCTTCCATTTAGGCACCTAGAATCAAGCCAGCCCCAGTGCTGGCTTGCTGACACGCTGTGCTGGATTTCAAGAGACACACAGACAGAGACATATGGACCAGAGCACACCAGGCACTCCTGTCTTCCACTGCCTCCCGCAGTTTGGTCAAACTCATGCTGGTAGCTTCGAGAACACTGTCCAATCATCTCGTCCTCCGTCGTCCCCTTCTCCTTGTGCCCTCCATCTTTCCCAACATCAGGGTCTTTTCCAGGGAGTCTTTTCTTCTCATGAGGTGGCTAAAGTATTGGAGCCTCAGCTTCAGGATCTGTCCTTCCAGTGAGCACTCCGGGCTGATTTCCTTCAGAATGGATCGGTTTGATCTTCTTGCAGTCCATGGGACTCTCAAGAGTCTCCTCCAGCACCATAATTCAAAAGCATCAATTCTTTGGCGATTGCCTTCTTTATTGTGCAGCTCTCACTTCCATACATCACTACTGGGAAAACCATAGCTTTAACCTTTTGTTCTTTAGAGGTATGCAATATTGTTTTGTAAATGTATGGGCAGGAATTGATAAAGCGGCAACTATTGGATAAAGGGAATGGGATATAAGGAACAGAGGCAGGATTTACATTTGCTTCCGTGTTCTGCTTTCACCTCTGGCCTCGCCCACCACAGTGGCCCCCGGAAGGCTGCGCAGCTGGGAATGTGGCCCTCAGCCTAGAAAAGGTTTCTCCGCCCTGAACTCTCTGTTCTTCTCTTTTGGCAGCTCCAGATCAAGCATGCCGTGACTGAGGCTGAAATACAGCAACTGAAAAGAAAGGTAAGCTATGAGATCCCTTTCCCTCCCCTTGGAGACTTGCCCAAATCCATGGCTGAGAGTGTTTTCCACAAGCGCTGTAAGAGCTTCTTCCCGAGTTGGCTTTTAATAGCAGGGCTATTTTTAATCTGTTTGCATAGGGTTTGGAGTGGGGAGGCCCTGCCCCACCCTCATGGTCACAATCCCGAGATTCTTCTCTTGCAAAGATAAAATAGAAACAGCCCCCATAAAAGCCACCATGAGCTTCTTGGGGGAAGGGTGAGACCAAAGCGATGTGCCTGAAATAAAATGCTTGAATGGATCTAGTATTTTGCCAGTTGGTTTGACTGTCCTTGCTAGGGATGGTGGAGGAATCCTTATCAAATGGAGTTACCGTACTTTTCCGTGTCCAGTCATACCTCATGTTACGTTTGCTTCAGGCTACGTTTTTTCAGGTTGCGTCCCGCAGCGACCTGGAAGTACCGGAAAGGGTTACTTCCGAGTATCGCCACTCGGGCATGTGCAGACGCGCAAAATGACACCACGTGCAAATCGTGACCCGTGCATGCGCAGACGCACTGCTGCTGGTTGTGTTGTATTCATGTTGCGAATGGGCCTCCAGAACGGATCCTGTTTGCAACCAGAAGTACCACTGTATTAGAGGAGGGGTTTTTTAAATTAAAAAAGTACAGTGGTACCTCTGGTTACATACGCTTCAGGTTACATACGCCTCAGGTTACAGACTCCGCTAATCCAGAAATATTACCTCGGGTTAAGAACTTTGCTTCAGGATGAGAACAGAAATCGTGCTCCGGCGACACGGCAGCAGCCCCATTAGCTAAAGTGGTGCTTCAGGTTAAGAACAGTTTCAGGTTAAGAATGGACCTCCGGAACAAGTTAAGTACGTAACCAGAGGTACCACTGTATGATAAAAATTGGGGGTCATCTTATACATGGATAATAGTGCATAGGGGGAGATGTGTGATTGATTGCTGCCACGAGCTGGAGATTGTCAGCGGCATGTTATTGGTGGCTTCGGCAAGGGCTGGTGTTGATTGGCTGTCGCTGCGGCAATAGGGTGGGCGATTAGCGGCTTCCGTCGGCGTGGGGACAGACAATAGCTGGAGGGTAAGTGACTTTCGGCAATCCACCCTAAAAAAAAGCTGAACAATTATGGGCCACCGCCGCCCCCCAAAAAGCTCAAACGCTATGGGCAATCCTCCCCCCAAAAAAAGTTCCATAACTCTGGGCAATCTCCCCCTATTTTCTTAATTTTGAGTCCCCCAAAATAGGGGGTGTCTTATACACGGGGGTGTGGTATACACGAGAAATACGGTAATGCAGGGATTTTGGCAGCTCTGACCACATCAGACCATCAAGTACCTCCTTATTTTCCAACCACTTGCACGCTGTTGTGTGTGTGCTTAAACAGCTAATTAGATGAAAAATGATACACACACAAAATTCAAATATTATAGGTATAATAGGTATGGAAAACTCCAGGCAGCACTACATTTCCATAGCATAATTTTCTAATCATGAATACTTAAGTGTGTTTTTATAAAGTTGCCTTCCCATTTTTATGTGCCGTTTAACTTTGGGGAACCTGGAATGCGTCTGTGTTTAATATGGGTATATTATGCCTATAGTAAAGGCATATATAGGGACGCGTGTGGCGCTGTGGGTTAAACCACAGAGCCTAGGACTTGCCAATCAGAAGGTCGGCGGTTCAAATCCCTGCGATGGGGTAAGCTCCTGTTGCTCGGTCCCTGCTCCTGCCCTCCTAGCAGTTCAAAAGCACATCAAAGTGCAAGTAGATAAATAGGTACCACTCCATCGGGAAGGTAAACGGCGTTTCCATGCACTGTTCTGGTTCGCCAGAAGCAGCTTAGTCATGCTGGCCACATGACCCAGAAGCTGTACACCGGCTCCCTTGGCCCATAGAGCGAGATGAGCGCCGCAACCCCAGAATCAGTCACGACTGGACCTAATGGTCAGGGGTCCCTTTACCTTCACTAAAGGCTTATATAATGTGCGAAAATTGTTTGTGTTTCTCGTGGGGGGGGCAGTAGCTCGCTTCTTGACAAGCTCAAGGAGCAAGAAGGGAAACAGCCATGCATTTAAAGCAAACGAGGAATATTGGGAACTGTAGGGTGCTAGGGGTGCTGGGAACTGTAGCGGTGAACTACAGTTCGTGGGATTCTTTGGGGGAAGCCGTGTGCTTTAACTGCATGGTGTGTACATGTCCTTAGGGAGAAATGTGTGCAGACGCAAAGGTTTTTGAAAAGTCCCATTCCTTGCCCTGAGCTGTTTAGGTCTGGAGACCTAAATATGCCAGGGGCCACCCACTAGGTAGCTTCCTGGCATCTACCTTTCTAGGAATGCTGCCCAGCCTAGCAAAACTGCCTGTCTTCTCTCACCTCACCTCCCATCCTTGCTTGCCAGAAGCACACTGAGAGCCAGTGTGGTGCAGTGGTTAAGAGCGGTAGTCTCATAATCTGGGGAACCGGGTTCGCGTCTCGGCTCCTCCACATGCAGCTGCTGGGTGACCTTGGGCCAGTCACACTTCTCTGAAGTCTCTCAGCCCCACTCACCTCACAGAGTGTTTGTTGTGGGGGAGGAAGGGAAAGGAGATTGTGAGCCGCTTTGAGACTCCTTAAAGGGAGTGAAAGGCGGGATATCAAATCCAAACTCTTCTTCTCACTGTGAGATATACCTGTTTCTGCCAAGAAAAGGAGACCTCAAGGAGCATTGGAGGCAGTGTGGATGAAAATCAATGTTTTTTTAATAAAAAAATCAGATTATTTTTTTAAATTTAAATCAGATTTTTTAAAATTTAAATTGTTTCTTTTTTTTATTTAAATTGGATTTTAAAAATGAAATGCTTTTGGAGGAAAAATCTTTCTAAAGGTAGTTTTCTATTTAGGTTACATTATAGTCCAAAGGCTATCAGGAAATAAGGATTTGTTTTAAGTTTTCCATGTATGCTAAAATTCAGTCTAAGGTTTTTTTGTTTTGTTTTTTGTTTATGTTTAACCACATCAGTTAACAAACATGGATACATATGCTATAATGTTACTGCTGTACTTAAATAAATTGTTTAAATTCTTATTAAGGAAATGATTGTTTTTCTCCTTCCAATAAAGTACAGCATAAAAGTTGTCCAAATATAAACAGTTAACTTATTAAAGCTCACAATAATTTCATAATTATCTCTCTATGTATTTCTAAGAGTATAACCAAATCAGTAATTTTTTATATAACTGTAAAAACCACTCTGAAAATTTATTATTCCAAAAATGAAACCTTCATCTGGTTGTAAGATTATACCAGCAAGAATGAGTTTTTCTGTGAAAAAACCCACACGATTTAAATCAAGTCTTACTGACTAGTGATTTAAATTGATTTGATTTAAATCAAGTCCAGCCTGATTGGAGGGAGGCTTGACTGACCTCTGCAGGGAACAGGGCCTCCTCGGTTGCTGCCCCAGTTGCTCAGCTGAGCACCCTCCTGCGATTTCCACTCCTTATATGTTTGCTGCTGCTTTTCGTGTCGATTTCTGACTTTCGCCGAGATGACTCTCGGCTACGTCGCTGCTGTCCATTTTGTTGTTGTTGAATTTTACAAGAAAAGAAAAAGAAAGATAAACAAAGAATAATACATAGCACTATAAACACATTTATATACATATTTTCCAAAATACAAACTAAAAAAAGAAAAAAGACAAATGATAAAAGAAAAAAATACTTTTCATAACCAATAATATTACCAAATTCTTGCTTCAAACATTACAATATATAAATCTTAGTTAAAATATTATAAAAGGCTTTCACCGCATTCACCGCACGTCTCTTAGTTACTGTATTTTTCGCTCTATAAGACGCACCAGACCACAAGACGCACCTAGTTTTTGGAGGAGGAAAACAAGAAAAAAAATATTCTGAATCTCAGAAGCCAGAACAGCAAGAGGGATCAATCCCTCTTGCTGTTCTGGCTTCTGGGATAGCTGCACAGCCTGCATTCGCTCCAAAAGACGCGCACACGTTTCCCCTTACTTTTTAGGAGGGAAAAAGTGAGTCTTATAGAGCAAAAAATACGGTATCTTGCTCGCCTTTACATCTGTTCTTTAATCATTTCCCTTCCTTAGATTCTTTCATAGTCAGTCAAATCTTTATGTTCACCATCCGTTTTGTTTTAATTACGGCTCAAAGCAGTGCGCCGATTTAGTTAGCTTCTGAGAAAACGAGTAAGCCTCTCCCTCGCGCTGTCTTCCCTCAGCTGCAGTCCATCGAACAAGAGAAATCCCGCTGGCGCCTCGAGAAAGCCCAGCTAGAACAGAGCGTGGAGGAGAACAAGGAGCGGATGGAGAAGCTGGAGGGGTACTGGATGGAAGCCCAGAACTTGTGCCAGGCTGTGGACGAGCACTTGAAAGAAACCCAAGCCCAGTATCAGACTCTGGAGAGGAAGTACAGCAAAGCCAAGAGGCTCATCAAGGAGTATCAGCAGAAGTAAGGACTCCCTTTCCAGAGCCCTGTCCCGTAAACGGCAATGATATGCATGCCTGCTAAGAATCATGGAACCATAGTGTGCTGGGCCCGGGGGTAACCCGTAAAATGCAGTCCAGGACCAGTCCAGAATCCGCAGGTTCCGCTGGGAGTCAGTCCGACAGGGCCAAGGCAGGACACAAGGCAAGGACAGGTACAAGATCTCAGGCAGGATCTAGCATACAGCAATGTTGCTCCCGCAACCTGGGGCAGGGTCCGACAGCCTTTTATCTTTGTCAGGGTAGCAGCTGGTCCTGATCCCCCGGCGACTCACCTCCCTGTTTTGCCCGAAGGCGAGCACTCCACCTGCGAGTACTCAGGTCTCTCCTTCTCTCAGACCTCAGTCTCTGCAGCTCGGGAGAGTGGCCAACTGCTGAGGACAAACACAAAACGGGTGGACACTACTATCACACCTTGCTGGATAGCATCATGGGAGCAGCAGGTGTGCCACTCTTGAGGGCTTTTGATCTGACCCACCAAACCAGGGCAGTTCCTAACTCCCTGAGTGTCAAGGCTTCAGGGAATCTGATCCCCCTTCCTCCCGGCTGGCAGCCAGAAATGGGTGTGCTGGGCCCGGGGGTAACCCATGAAACACGGTCCAGGATCAGTCCAGAATCCATAGGTTCTGCTGGAAGTCAGTCCGATAGGGCCAAGGCAGGACACGAGGCAGGAAACCAGGCAAGGTCAGCCACAGGGTCTCAGGCAGGTTCTAGCAAACAGCAATGTTGCTCCCGCAACCTGGGGCGGGGTCCGACAGCCTTTTATCTTTGTTGGGGTAGCGGCCGGTCCTGATCCCCCGGCGACTCACCTCCCTGTTTCGCCCGAAGGCGAGTACCCCTCCTGCGAGTACTCAGGTCTCTCCTTCTCTCAGACCTTAGTCTCTGCAGCTCGGGAGACGTCGGTGGGTTACCAGATCCAGAAGCGGCCTCAGCCTCCCCTGACCCAACTGGTAGTGGAGCAGCTGTAAGTGATGGCCCAGCTGAAGGCAACGAGCCAATCCCCACATCTGGAGCCAGGGCAGGCTCAGGCCCCTGACTCGGCCCAGCTGGTGTTTGTTGCAAGGGAACCTGTGCAGACTGGGACTCTTCGGGATCAGGCCCCAGACTTGGTTCAGATGATGCCTGAGGCAAAGGATCTGGTGCAGACTGAGTCTCCTCTGGTTCCAAGTCCAAGCCCGAGTCCCAGGCCATCACACATAGAATTGTAAGAGAGAATGCCTTCATCAACCTTTTTAGGCCCACTTTCGTTTGAAATAGAAGTACTGCATCGTTTTGGTATAATAATACAGTGGAACCTCGGTTCCCGAACACCTCCGTTCTCATATGTTTCGGTTCCCAAACGCCAAAAACCCAGAAATAAATGCTTCCATTTTTGAACGTTTTTTTTGGAACCTGAGCGTGCAGTGTGGCTTCCGCTGAGTGCAAGAAGCTCTTGAAACCAATAGGAAGCTGTGCCTCAGTTTTCAAAAGTTTCAGAAGCTTCTGGAACAGATTTCATTCATGAACCAAGGTTCCACTGTACAGAGCAGTGATGGCCAAACTGGGCCCTCCAGCTGTTTTGGGACTACAACTCCCATCATCCCTAGCTAACAGGACCATTGGTCAGGGATGATGTGAACTGTAGTCCCAAAACAGCTGGAGGGCCCAGTTTGGCCATCACTGGTATAGAGGATGGCTATTCTGGCCAATTTAGGGCCATTATACTCTGGGGATGTTAAACTCTGGACAATATCATTTATATATAAATTAAACAGTGCAAAGGAAAAAGCGTCTCAAAGCGCCAAAATTCTGACACGCTTTTTCCATACGAAAGGTGGCAATCCCATACCATCAGTCCTTGAAGTGTTTAAAGCTAAACCCCTAGCACAGTTATATTATATGGGGCTCAGATTTGGACAGGCACTCACCTTGGATCTACAGAAGCTGTACAATCCTAAGTTCCTAAGGCATTTTTCCTGTTCCATCCTGTTTTCCAAATGCTTCATTGCGCTTGAAGGCTAATCTCCCCTCCGCTGAATTACAGATTTGGTGTAGGACATTTCATTATTGGCTTCAGCTAAATTTAAACCCCACTGGTCTACTACCCTTAGTATTGCAAGAGCGCTTGGACTATTTCAGGAGAACGGGACCCTGGTGGGAACAAGGTGGGAGAGTCCTGAGGTGGTGGAATGGGCTGAACCGCTTCAGACTATAGGTGTGGAATGATGTTTTGAATGCTTCCCCATGTAAAAGGTTGCCTGCAAATAAAACTAGTCAAGAAGGGAGAACAAGAACCTTTCTCTCTGGTAGGCTAGTTATGGCTGTTCTTCTACTTCCAAGGAGGAGTTTGTGTGTGTTTTTTAACATGGAGAAAGCATATGAAAAGGGCATCTCCCACCTCTAGCCTAAAACGGACCAATTCACTTTGCCAACTCAGCATTCTGAGACGTGGGTGGCGCTGTGGTCTAAACCACTGAGCCTCTTGGGCTTGCCGATCGGAAGGTTGATGGTTCGAATCCCTATGACGTGGTGAGCTCCCGTTGCTCTGTCCCAGCTCCTGCCAACCTAGTAGTTCGAAAGCACACCAGTGCTAGTAGATAAATAGGTACCACTGCAGCGGGGAGGTAAACAGCGTTTCCGTACGCTCTGGTTTCCGTCACGGTGTTCTGTAGTGCCAGAAGCAGTTTAGTCATGCTATCCACATGACCAGAAAGCTGTCTGTGGACAAACGCTGGCTCCCTCGGCCTGAAGCGAGATGAGCACTGCAACCCCGTAGTCGCCTTTGACTGGACTTAACTGTCCAGGGGTCCTTTACCTTTACCTCTGCTATGTCCTGCTGCATATGTAGTAATATCATCATCATCATATGCTGCCCATCTGACTGAGTTGCCCCTGCCACTCTGGGCAGCTTCCAACCGATCTGAACGAGAGCCAGTGTGCTGTAGTGGTTAAGAGCGGTAGACTCGCAATCTGGTGAATCGGGTTCGCGTCTCCGCTCCTCCACATGCAGCTGCTGGGTGACCTTGGGCCAGTCACACTTCTCTGAAGTCTCTCAGCCCCACTCACATCACAGACTGTTTGTTGTGGGGGAGGAAGGGAAAGGAGAATGTTAGCCGTTTTGAGACTCCTTCGGGTAGTGATAAAGTGGGATGTCAAATCCAAACTCTTCTTCTGAACTCTTCTGATGGCCCTAAGGTTAGACCATTTCCCAACATTCAGGAGACTCCCCCTGCTTGCCTCTTAACCAGCCCCCTCTGGAGGCAGGAATGGGGAGCCTCTAGGATAGCTAGATGTTGCTGGACTGCAGCTCTCCTCATCCCTGACCATCCCTGGTCCATACTGACTGGAGCTGGTGGGATTTAGAGTCCCATCATATCCGGAGGCCACTGGTTGCCCCTCCTTGCTTTAAGGACCTACGGGACCGCCTCTCCTGGTATGCCCCGTGGAGGACCTTAAGGTCCACAAATAACAACACTTTGAAGGTCCGGAGCCTCAAGGAGGTTAGATTGGTTTCAACTAGGGCCAGGGCCTTTTCAGCATTGGCCCCAACGTGGTGGAACACTCTGTCACAAGAGACTAGGGCCCTGTGGGACTTGACATCTTTGCACAGGGCCTGCAAGACAGAGCTGTTCCGCCTGGCCTTTGGTTTGGACTCGGTCTGACCCTTATATTTCCTTCCCCTTATGGTCTTGATTTATCGACTACTTTAAAATGAGGCTGCATTTTAAATTGCATTTTAACCTGTATTTTAAATTGGTGTCCCCCCTCTCTTTTCCCCCTATTATGTTTTTACTGTGATTTTATTGTTGTTAGCTCTGGCCAGGGAGGTCGGGGGTATAAATAAAATTTATTATTATTATTATTAAAGAGTGCTTCTGACTCTGGCTCTTCCCCTCTTACAGAGAGATTGAGTTCCTGAAGAAGGAGACAGCTCAGCGTCGCATCCAGGAGGAGTCTGAGCTGGCCCACAAGGAGGAAGTGGACAAGTTGCAGGAGAAGGTGGGCATCAAGGACAGCACTGGGGGTTTGCCTTGAGCCCCCGAGGAAAAGAAAGAAAGAAAGAAAGAAAGAAAGAAAGAAAGAAAGAAAGAAAGGGCTTTGCTGTGACTGGAGAGGCCTTGGTTCAGTTCAGCTCAGGGATACATGTGAGATGTGTGCACTTGGAAGGGGCCTGGTTGTTGACGTGGGTAGAGGAAGGGTTGGGGCGAGAGGGACACTCCCATCTTTCTGAACTCCTGTAGAGTTGGGTATCAATGCTTGAGTCTTGTAGGACCTTGTGTCACGTGCTGGATCACTCATTAAGCAGATCCTGCTGCTCAAAGGCAGGGGGTGGGAAGACTGATCTTTTTGAATTCCACATTGAGAACACATCCCACGCCTATATCACACTCAGATTTTTTGGGGTGTTGGTGGCCGGGGTGTCCTTTCTACAGAGTCCCGCTGAAACTTCCACCAGGACAAAGTGGATCTTTACAAGCCCACGCTCGCCCACCTTCCCCAGATCCTGTGATGTGAGATTCCGCATCCCAGATCTACAGGGATCTCTTAAGGTTGTGCAGTGTTCTATTTAGCTTGCAGACACTTGATCCTAGATCAAACGCCGTCTCTCCACCACGTATACATGGGCGTTGGGCCTTCACTTGATCCTGCAACAGGTCTCGTGTCAAATCTATATCTCTCCTTGCTGGGCCAGTTGCAGATCCCTGCCACACCCTGGTTCCTACATCAGGCAGTGGATCATGTCAGACTCGTCAGGTTGTTCTCATGCCTCTGTGTGTTAAATGTGTGCATTGTGTGTGTGTGTGTGTGTGTGTGTGTGTGTGTGTGAATGCACCTGGGTTTCTGTACTGCGGCTACACTGATCGGAGAGCAACGTAGAATCTCTCTCTTCCAACATCCAGGAGATTCCCCATGCTCCCTCTGGAGGACATCACTTGTACTGCAGCTCCTAGAAGCCCCCTCCAAAACCCAAATCACAGCGGCAGGTCTCAGTGTGTTCCTCTTCTTTGCACAGAACACTGAACGCAACTCACACACACCCCTGCGCCATTCATCTCCATTGAGGTCGACCAGGCTAGCACATGCATTTGAGCACTGCCACCACTGCTGCTCTTCAGCATTTACAAAGTGCCAAGCTCTTAAGGAAAGAGTGAGGATCACCTGCACAGGGCCCAGAATAAGCAGAGGTGCACATTTTGCCAGGACCGCATTGTGCTTTGCACAGTCATTTCACTCCTACATGGCTGTGGCCTGCCACTCGACGGAGAACAGGCAGCACGAACCACATTCTACATGGCTAGAGCACTAGGCGGCAGCAATTGCCACGACTGTGGTGGATGGAAAAAACAAGGCCATGAGACAGTTGGAGCGGGGTGGGTGGGTAACCACCAACCTCTCCCTGCAAACAGAAAGCTAGCAAGGAGAAACCTTCTATTTGTGAGTTTTTAGCATAAGGGAACATTCAGCATTGGCAGCCTCCCACATTGTCTGATGTGGTACAATCCGCATAATAATAATAATAATAATAATAATAATATACATTTTATTTATACTCCGCCCTCCCCGGCCAGAGCCAGGCTCAGGGCGGCTAACACCAATAAAATAAAATAGCAGTAAAAACATAATAGGATAATAATAAGGATATAGCCTCCTATCAAGCCATCACCTCCCCTTCACCTTAATTGTGATCTCCCTATTTTCTTAGAATGCTTTCTGCTGACTGTGTCTGAATTCGTCCTGGGCTGACTGCTCTCTAATGAATAAAAAAATGGTGAATTAGTCTGCCAAACAGCAGCCTGCCCACATCAGGACGCTGCTCCCATCTCCGAATGTGTTATACCTTTGATTTGACCCAAGCATCAGACCAAAGGCTTCCGCCATGCTTATTTTCTCAACCATGTCCATCGGCTCTCATTCCCCAACCATTACTTCACCCCATCACCCCACTGATTTCTCCTGGAACTGCTCCTGGCCAACTTTCCACCTCTGATTTGCCCTTTGAGCCTTCAGTCATTTCATTCCCTTATTTAGTTTTAACTATCCATTATTCATGTGTTTCATTACATATACCTTTAAAGCCCTAATGGCCTTGGCCCAGTATACCTGAAGGAGCGTCTCCACCACCATCATTCTGCCCGGACACTGAGGTCCAGCGCCGAGGGCCTTCTGGCGGTTCCCTCATTGTGAGAAGTGAGGTTGCAGGGAACCAGGCAGAGGGCCTTCTCGGTAGTGGCGCCTGCCCTGTGGAATGCCCTCCCTTCAGATGTGAAGGAAATAAATCTTTAAAAGACATCTAAAGGCAGCCCTGTTTAGGGAAGTTTTTAATATTTAATGCTGTATTGTTTTTAACACTCGATTGGAAGCCACCCAGAGTGGCTGGGGAAACTCAGCCAGATGGGCGGGGTATAAATAATAAATTATTATTATTATTATTATTATTATTATTATTATTATTATTATACCCATGCAGCTTACAATACAGAAAGTGCTTCAACGTTCGGTTCCCAGAAGCAGAGCTGATTATACAAAGCTTATCTGGCGTATGCAACTTTTAACTGGATCTGCATAGTTTACGCTGTGCGGCCTTTTGCCGAACTCAGAGCAGAGGAACCCGTCTCAAAACGGACGTGGAGCAGACTGCAAGCCTAAACGTTCAGAAGCCGTGTTAATGAGCTCCCCCCCCCCCACGTCATTTGTATCCATACAATTCTCCTTTGGCGTGCCCCTTCATCCCCCTTTTTCACAGCCTGTTCCCGTTGCTGTTAATGGCGCTGAGCCAGCCAGCCAATTTCCACCATGTCTCCTTCCCTCGTGTCTTCCCATCTCTCCCCCCCCCCCGCTATTTTTCTACCTGGAAATCTCCTCTTCACCCCCTTTCTGTTGTGTGTTTTTCAGATCTCTGAACTGGAGGCGAAGCTGCAGACTTTGAAAAATTCCAACCCGACTTAAAAAAAGAGAGAGAGCAGGAAAAAAAACCACATATAAACCAACCAGAGCAATTAATTCTTCTCATTACTATTACTACTACTACTACTACTACTATCATTTGCAAGGGACCTGTTTAGAAATGCCTCCTGCCAGTTCTCCACTCTTTTATTCTTCCCTCATCCCCTGCCCGGTTTTCCCAGCAGGGAAGTGTTAAGACCCTGACACAGTCAGAAGAACTACGGCAAGCGAGAGTAGCCAATGGCCTTGCCTTCTCTTGAGAGTGAGGGAGAGACAAAGGCCGGGACGGGTCAGGCAGGATGGCGAAAGTCAAAGTGGGCCGCAGAGGCGAAACCCAGACACCTTGACAAGGGTGGTGAATCACTTGTCAGTTTTCCATGTCCGGTGTGCGTCTTGTGTCAACTGGATCGACAAACCGTGGAGGGTGGGGAGGCGGTGGTCCCGTGTGTCCGGCCATTTGTGTCCCCTGTCCTCTCTGCCTGATGAGAACCTTGCGCCAGCCATTGCAGATTGGGATCGAGACTGTCTTCACGTGGAGCAGGGGACAAAACTGGAACGCAGCAGGACTCTGCTGGCAAGAAGCGAGACCAGCTCTCTCTATCTGTTTTTGTTTTCTTTCCTGAATCTTAAACTTTTGAGCGAGGGGTTATGGGGTTGGGAGTGGGGGGGTCTTATTGTTGGGATTTGGTGAGGGTGGGGAGGGTTGGATGATCTTGCCTTTAATTTTCCATCCTTTTGGACAATATGGAATCCATTATTCTCTATGTTTCGTGCGATGGTGGGAAATATGTCTGTGTTTTTTAAGGAGGGTTTCCGCGGGCGATTTTGCCAGTCGCCACCTTTGCGACTGAGGAGAGGCTCCGGCCTCCGGAACCCCTGTCGGCATCTGAATAGACGCTACGGCTGACTTTTTACAACCAGGAAAAGAGCATTCGCCTTGTTTCTTTCCCCTCCTCACTGCATTTTTATTCACGTTTGTCTTGGAGAATTTCTGGGAATCAACGCCCAGGAGGTTTATGAACTGGACCCTCCCAAGGGAGCTGAGTATTAAAACCTAAGAGCCGGGAGCAAACGCATCAAAGGTATCGAGCCAGGAGCTGAAGCTAGAGACTTTGGAGAGAAAAAAAATGGAACTGAGCAGGGAAGAAATAATTGGTCCCGCTCTTGAGCAAGCCTTCAGTTTCATGGTTCTGCACCAGCCATTCTGCATTTGACTGGAAGAAAGCTGTGAAGGGCAGCACCTTTTCGGAAGCCCAGCACCTTGACAGGGTTCTGCTTTGCTGCTGTCAATACCAGGGTTTGTTGTGGAAGTGGGTGTGCTTACAGCCGGGGGACAGCAAAAGATAAAAACAGAGGCACGAGTGCCTTAGACGCACAGGTAATGAGGAGCCAGTCTCTAAGATCATTAGATTGTAAGAGGTATTGCCTGGTTCCTTCTTTGTTCCTTAATTTATGAGGTCAACCTTTGTCCCAGGACAAAACACTGGACCAACATAGATGTCCCTTTGTTTCACATCACCCCCATTTCCAGCGACTGAGCTGCACGGGTGCATTTAGTTTGGGTTTTTTACGTGGCATCTCTAGCCGGCAGGGAATTCCTCTCTGAAGCAACACAACGGCGTCATAACTGTTGCTGCAGTGGCCAGCCAGTCAGCACCTTGCCTTCCGCATTTTACGCCCCTTTCTAGAGAAATGGTTGGGATCGTTATTAGTAGCCAGAAAGCCAGAAAGTGTTGGGTCACCTTAGTGGTAAACTGGATGGATGGGTGGGGGATATCTTACAGCGCAAGCCTTCATAACAGGTGCCGGCAGCGAGTTACAAAAGCTGTTCATCTCTAAGGTGCCAGAGGGTTTTGCAGCTTCTTTCTTCCTCATCTGTTTAATCTGACAAGAGCAGAAGTCACTGACTGCAGCTCCTTCGCTGCCCATGCTTTTACACCCTAACCCAGGCATCAGGGCCCAAGCCAAAACATTACACTGACATACACAGAGGCACCAAAACAACACTTCCGTAGAGCTGCACTTTGCCCAGAGGGCCAAGATGTTAGAAGGGTGCTCTCTATATGGCACCAAACTTATAGGGAGTTTCTTTCTGTATCAGCATCCGTGGCACCAGAAGGATGCAGTTTGGCCTGACGGCAATGTCTGTGTGTTGTGTGTAATGTTGGAATCAGGTTCTTAAGGGGAAGAGTCAGAAAACATCTTACCTTAAATATGGCAAGGTGAAGCTTTGTGTGAACACATTTGGAGGCTTCCTTTGCCTGTATTTTGGCCTCTCTGACCTTTCGCTATCCCCGTCCTTGGGCGTGGTTTTTGGCCACCATGATTCATTCATGCCCTGGAGCTTGGCTGAGTGTGTCACATTGCTCAACCCAACTTGGAAATAACACAGGTACTCACAATCGGGTACCACTGGGGGCCTCTCCCAACCTGGGGCCTTCCTGATGTTTGGACTATAGCTTCCATCATCCCCAGCCAACATGGCCAATGGTCAGGGATGCTGAGGATACCTGGATTGCACCTGTTTGGGAAAGGCTGTTATAAACTGAGCTGGTGGGAGATGCGTCACATAGACATTCACTGGTCCTCTTTCAGCTGTTTGAGAGATATATTTATTAACCTAGATTCAGTTTTATATTTAAAAAAACGATGCAAATCGGGTGACGTTTCCTCTACCCACTCAAGCAGGACTCCACCTACTGCATCATCTACAAACTTTTTGACAGTATTATTTTTCCGGCACGGCCATTAGCCAAGGCTGCTGTGGAACGTCTATGTAAAGTGGAACTGGACGTACGTTTTGTAAAGCGGTTGCTGGGAAAAGTTGCTTCCCCCTGCTCCCTCAAAAAGAGCCAAAATAATGCCGATACAAAAGCCTGTATGTTTTGTTTGGTTTAAAGCAGTATTCTGCCAGGAAAAGCTATGCCTTTGGGTTTTCACCTCTAAACTGGATTTTGTGAAGGGAGTGGGAAATGCTGTCCCCTTCGCAAGGTTTCCACTTTGAAGGAAAGGGGGGGAAAGAACAACAGGGTGTTTTCCTCCTGTTGACTTGAGAGGTACCCAGCCCTTTTATTGTTTATTTCTTGTGGGCTTTAATAGTGGCTGCTTTGGAAGAAAGACATCCTTTGCTCATCCCGGTGTCTCTTGCTGTGATTCAGACAGAAACTCGGTGTGAATTTCAGCAGTCTGCATGATAGCTTTGATTCGGGGAAGAAGCACCAAAGGGGTTCATTTTGAACTTCGAACCAGTCTTTCCTCCAATTTCGATGGACCTAGCCCAGAAATGTCCAGATCCCATAACGAGGATAACTTCAGGATAGATGTCTCCCATGTTTCCTTCATAACTTTGAATTCACAGTTCCCTGTTTTGTCTTATCATGGGACGAAAACAGTTCATGGCAATGATGTGCAGAATGTGTCCCACTCAAGACAACATAATGTGGGTAGATTTGCCTTCATGAGCTTTCACAATCCATTTGTACTCCCCCAGAGTATTAAATACTGTGATAAAATGGTGGGTCGGTTTTCCAGGGTATGTTTCTGTGGACTGGAGTGGGGATTCTAATCCACATATCATGATCTGGGAGTAGAGAACCTGGGCATGGCAAATATCCTGGATCCAACAATCCAAAATTAAAAGGTGACATGTTGTGTCCTTGATCCCAGAGCTGGGCAATGTGTTTCAGGGGGGGGTTGACTGCTTCCCCATCTCCTTTAAACCTCAGTGGTCAAATTGTGTGTGTGTTGCTACATGTACGCCCTGAAACACAGCCCTGCTTCTGGAGGTAAGCAGCTCTCTCATTCACACATGCACACACACACCCTTTACAGAATGTGAATTCTTGTGTTCCACGGTGGCAGAGTCCACAAAAGGCTTGGCCATTTTGTGATGCAGTGACATCGTCTGAAACGGGCACGGTCTCCAGCTCGCCATTTGCTCGCTGCAACACGCTGCCATTACACCTGCCAAACGCAGAGCTTCCAGACTGTTAGTGGTGGTGACCACAGAGGCAGGCAAAACTGGCCAGCTGCCAGTGAATTCTCCTCCCATCCCTTTACCCCGTGAGGGCTGCAAGGAATGATTCTCTAGGTGACAAGGTGTCTCCACGCCACCGCCATCCTGGGTTACATAGAGGATGAAACAGATTTTGCACCCCCCCCAAAAAAAGTTGGTTCAAGAGGTGTACAGTGTACTGTAAACAGTAAATGGGTGCAGGATCAGAGCATGGGGGTGGAGAATGACACGCAGATGTAATGTTCTGAAAAACAAATGAGTTTTTTAAAAGATCATCTTAAATTTTAATTTAATCTCCTTTACACAGGTATAAATGTGTATGTATATATATAATATATATATGTATGTATGTATGTACGTATTGTTCCTGGTTTTGTATTCCAATTGTCCTATCATCCGGTCATATCAGATAAACTGCAGGTCTTTGTTTCCACCCTGTTCGGTTTTTCAGACGCCACTATGTGCTCTTGGGGGAGTTGGGATGGGGGGGCAGAGCTATGGGTGTCCACTGCTGGAATTTCTAGAGATCTTCAAGGCAGCCCTTCCATATATATAGGTATGTATGTAAATGGGATGCGGGTGGTGCTGTGGGTTAAACCACAGAGCCTAGGACTTGCCAATCAGAAGGTCGGCAGTTCGAATCCCCGCGATGGGGTGAGCTCCCGTTGCTCAGTCCCTGCTCCTGCCAACTTAGCAGTTCAAAAGCACGTCAAAGTGCAAGTACATAAATAGGTACTGCTCCGGCGGGAAGGTAAACGGCGTTTCCGTGCGCTGCTGTGGTTCATCAGAAGCGGCTTAGTCATGCTGGCCGCATGACCCAGAAGCTGTACACCAGCTCCCTCGGCCAATAAAGCGAGATGAGCTCTGCAACCCCAGAGTCGGCCACGACTGGACCTAATGATCAGGGGTCCCTTTACCTTTACTATGTATGTAAATGCTTTTGAGGTGAACAGTAGGGCTGGGCACTATCTGGTGTTCAACATTGTGA